CAGGTTTACCAGGATTGTCTACAAATTGCACTTTTCTTAGGTTATGTACAGGCTCCCTCAGCATTGTTTTACCAGTTTGTCTCAGTTTCTCAGTTGTTATGCATCACCTTGTGATGTAATGTGCTATTTGTTCTCATTGTCTCTGGGAAACGAGAGAGATGGATGAACCATTTGAAACAGTTCATGTCGTCAGGACCTTCTACGAAAGTGACAGTGAGTCATGTTCATGTTCATGTCTGGTTGAGTTCATGTCTGGCAAGATATTAATTTTGAAGATATTTTTATGAAATGGGTTGGGTTTTCATTGGTACTTCAATTCCAAATTACAAGAATATCACAATATTAACCCTTATACGCTCAGCGCGCCGATCCATCGGCTCCGTCTAAATCATGCTCTTTCAGTTACATAAATGGCTCAAAGGTTGTTTTTGTTGTTTAGTTATATAAATGGCTCAAAATGCTTCCCTAAACACAGGTGCTAATTGCAAAAGGTACGTACGTGATGTAGTTCCGGACCAGTGTTTTTAGGCCAGGTACTTGGAAAATAGGCTGAGTGCGAAAGGGTTGTGAAAGTGAAAAAAAGTGAAAGGTCAAAAGTGCATTTGTACTGATGATGAGATGCTTGCCTGTTTATTTGCCAAGTTATATCAACAATGACTTCAACTCTTCAAAATGTCTGATAGAATTGTCAACTTTTTTGGACTTTCTTGGTGACCCTGGAGAATGAAATTGTCTCGTATCATGAGTATCATTCCTTTTATGCAATGGATGTTGAAAGTGAAAATCAAATTCACATTTATTGCACAAAAAGATGACAATGGTTTTATATCACATGAAATTTGAAATGCTGCTTGGGTGGCAACCTTGTTATTTCCTGACCTAATGGGTCATATTTGGCCAAAAAGTTGGGTCCTTAATAGGTCCAGAGGTATGGCCTAAGCTCGACCATTGTGACATTTTTTTGTAAGGCCCAAATCTGGCTGCCACACTTGGCACTAGGAATGTACTTTCTAATGGGCCAGATTCGGCCCAAGTATTGCATCTTACTAGGCCCATGGATATGGCCGAGGCTCGACCATTGTGACATTTCTCGTATGGCCCATGTCTGGCTGCCACATTGGGCCCATGTTATTTTGCCATGCATATGCCTTACTTGGCCCAGTCATGGTTGGCTACCTGGGACATTACTCTGGCTAATATTGAACCAATCATACGTGCCGATGATGCGGAAACAGTCCGCGAAAAGTTACGGGGTGAATATCATAGATAAAATATGCAAGACTTTCATAGCAGAAGTTTCTCCATGATAGGCACCATTATGAAAACTGCGTTGCATCGTGGACCCCCTTCGGGTGACTCGTTGGTTAAGAACGAATTCGCACATGATTCTGCTCGCTCCGTGTTAATTGTAGAGTTTAAATTTACAATATTCGAATATTGCTTTGGAAATGCTCCAAGATGGACATTTTTGCATGAAAAGGGGGAAGTCTATCTATCTAAAACGTGAATGCCTACAATAAAAGCCTTTGTTTTACATTTAATAGTCTCCAGTTCATGACGCCTTTATCTTTTGCCCAGTGGCTCTCCCCCTCGCCCCATACATCAAGAGTGCGTCCTGCTACCCTTAACATCCACTGTTTGCGGAGATGACGTCAACTCTGCTCCCCCCCATCCCTCGCCACGCTTTGAGTGTTCACTGCTTCTAACATGGGTGCCTAGCAACCACCGCCTCAATCCTACTCTACAACGTCCACATCTACAAAATGGGCAGTCTTTTTTTTTTTACGCATAACAGGTTTTTAGAGTATTCGTACTCTGTAGCGATTCCCGATATTTTAAAATAAACGCACAAAAGACGGCAGAACTGCGTTAGAATTTGAAAGGAAATCCCTTTGTATGAAAGTGAAGAAATAAAGCTATTATTATATAAAGCTAATGCTGTTGGTAGGCTAGCCACAGGAACACATATGAACGTGGGCATGGCGGTGGAGCAGGCCGGCATCCGTCCCTAGTTACGTTTTCGAACCTCCCTATTACGCGCATGCATGACTCCACGCTTCACCTCCTCCCATTCCCACAGTCCCCTCGAGTGGGTGAGAGGAAAAGCGCGTGAGGGTGTGTGCGCCTACTTCTCTCCAATCCATTTTCCGTCGCACTGCTCCGTGTTATTCCTATGGAGCCCTGCGCGTCTAGCGTATAGGGATTTTTTTTTTCCTCCACGTGCATTGCAAGCAAGAGTATCCTACGAGAAATACAGCGGGCGTTTGCGAGCGAACCCTTTTGTCTCGAACAGATGCAAGGCAACGGCGATGCATTACCGAATGGTCACTGCCCACCACTTCACGAAACCGTCCAGAGCTTCACGAAACACCGAAACGATCGATGAATCCTCCGACGTGGCTCCACCCTCGCACAACACTCCACTAGTCCCCCATTCCTAAAGACGCGAGTCGGACGCCTACTTCACCGTCGCGCAGAGGAGGGAATAGGGGAATGCCTTTCACTCGAGGTATGACGAACACGTGACGGCTGTTCTCGCTCCGCGCCCCGTCGAACACGCAGAGTGTCTGGGGAAAAAATTCTTTTCGATCGCATTCTATGCATGAAAGTGCCGTAAAAGGCACGAGCACTGTGGATTCTACCACGTCACCCGGTGATGATATATTCGGGAGGATTCCATGAATCTACGAGAAATGAATCGTCTCTCTCGTTCCCTCTTCCGCCAGTTCAAAGGGAATTTCTTCAGTCTGCAATTCTGTGTGTGTTCTTTTCGTCATCATTCACCGTTAGTATTAACTTGACCCAGTCAAACCGCCTTCGACGGATGTTAATGTCCTCTCGTCTTAAAAGGGTCTTCACGTTCTTCATTTAGATTGGAAGCAGTGAAGAAAAATCGCCAGCTAACCCTGCTATAATATATGATACCATATTAGATGGGAAGCGTAAAGTCGTCGCGCTCTCCCCTTTCGTGACTCAAGATGGCGACCAGCTCGGCCTTTTCGATGCCAGATAGAATCCACGCAACCATTCATGATATTAGTGAAGAAATGGGACGACCGCATTGGCGGTAGAGGCCTCGGCACCTTAGGGGGTTAATTAGGTCAGGCTTCTCTAATCTTTGACCAGGAGATTATGGAACGGAATATGATTCCTGCTGTACCTCAAAAGTGCAAAATCAGGCTATATTACAATCGCGCTGGGGGGGATCAGGTCCCAACCGTTCGAGAATGGAAAATGATATGTCTCGTGTTGCCCCTCAGACGTCATTTACTGATATTTGAACGCAAGTGAATGGAAGGCGTAAGTGGCAGCTGTCACATCGATGACACGTAGATTCATGGTTCCGTTCTCGTTTCACTTGAGGTCTCCGAGGCACACCTGACCACGGCCTTAGCATGTTTTCAGGAATTCCTACTGCACGTGAGAGTTGTGATTGGCCCAGAAGCGTTTCTGCGCGACAGAGTCGACTCAACGTTGATGATGCACTGGTTTCTAATATTTAAGGAACTGATAGATTTTGCCAAGTTCCGCAACACCTCCGTCACGAAAACGGTCCAAACATTCAGGAATATGATAGCACTTGCAACTTTTGGAGATCGCCCGCTGACATGCAAATCACACTTCTTTAAAAGACGGCGCTCTGTGAGGGGGTGGCGCAGTTCGCGTTTGGATGGCAACCAGTTCGTTTCAAGATAGCCGAATCCTGAAAATGACCGAAAGGAGCCATCTAACGAGACCAACAGAGCCATAAAGACGGCGGGCCATTGCGCCTTCCGGATCGCAATCGCTTGCGGGGATCGCCCGGCCGACATCCGACGACACACTTTTGGCGAGTTTAACCGCGACATTCGCATGGCGTTCGTCATATCGCGGATTTTCAATGCGGTCCTTAAGTTTTGGAAACCAGTGTATGTTGACAATGTTGAGAGGATGTTGATGCCGATGATTCAATGCAGGGTCGACATTGACGCAACGTTGGAAAAGTCAACATTGCAAGGACATCGTCCGGTCGACAGCACATCAACATGCGTCGGGCGATACATCTGGCGAGACATTCGAACGAAGAAGGTTTCCTGATCCCGAAGTGAGATGGCGCCAATCGCTAACACAGGGAGTTACTTCATATATGCAACTGGCACGCGTCCCCAGTACTGTTTGGAGCGGTACTTTTCTGCAACGACGGCACCGGGGAGGGCTGGAATTCCTGGATACATTCCACAAAAGAGGCTGCACAACCCGATGAGATTCTCGGTAATTCTCGGTAATTCTGGCCCGATGAACCGAGAGAACGAAGTTCACGCTCAGGCCCATATCAATCTTCTCCCATTCGCGCACGAGAACTTTTCGATATGACCGGGAACCTTAGCCTTAGCATGAGGCGCGAGGCCTTTGGCCTATGCCTTTCTATGTCATAGGAAGGACATGAGTTGCCGCGTATCGGCACGCTTGTGGAAGTGAAAGTGTCACATTTTTTCCTATTTTCCCTCGACATTTAGATTTAGAGGGGCTATGCCCGATCCACTCACGAACGCTTAGGTCAATGCTATTTCTATGCACACACTTCCTCCAACAAACCGGGAGCATGAATATCTATGGGTTGCATTTACGGAATGACGTCTTTCATTATTCGCTCAAGATCCTTGGAGAGGATCGGTTGAACGGTGAAATTGCCCGGCTATCGGCCAGCTCGTTCGACACGGGCTCCATACAGTGCCTTCGACATGACGAGTCGCTTGCTGGGGATCTTCGACGCGATGCCATATCCTTCCTTGAGCGCATCATGGAGAAGCGTCAGCTGTGAAAGTCATGTGAACTTTCGTTTGTGTGAGACAGGTTTAGAATTTTCGCTGACTCCTTCCCCGTCGTCGGGCGATATCGGCTCGGTATTCGCCTGAGTCATTTTATTATTACTATCGCAAAGCAGTATCCTTGTAACGTCGATCACTGAAGCTCCTCGAAGAAATTCCTTGCTGTGTCGTAGATAGGAAAATTTCCCGGGAATGGAAGGTGGATGTGGTTGTTTGGCAGTGGTTTCGCGGATGATCACGTTCTTAGTGCTCGCTTGGGCAGGCGTCCAGCTCTTCCACCTGATACGACGGCTCTACATCCATGCCTTTGACCCCTACCCTCCTTTCACCTCATATGGCGCTTGGGCAGGTATGAGAGACTCCATCTAAACTATATCTATATGGAGGAATTGTAGCCTGAGTCATTTTACCTCGAGTGTCTGTTGGGGACACCTGATTTGCAGGAAATTTGGCACAGAAATTTACCTTATTAAATAAAAACAAACGATGCAAAATTTTTCATAATGGCCTGTATATTTCCTAGAAAACAGAGTAAAGTTTTCATACTGGCATGCTTCTTAACTGATTTTTCAACAGAAATTTCTCAGTACCTCAGGAGGTGTCTAAACCTGACGGATTATTTATATTCAGTAGCCAACTCTTGGAAGAGACCTTTCTATTTCTTGCAATACTTTTCAATTTTATCCTTACGAGTTCATCATTGCCAAAGCAATTTTCTTTACGGTTCACCTTAACTGCGTCGAACTGCGATGTTTCGCTTGTTAGCTTCCGCGATTAAAGGAGAAGTACTGTTTTCGAGACACACCGAGTTTCAGGAGGGTGTTCTCGGTGGTTGCTGAGTGACATGAAAGTAAAGTAAGCAAAATGGATCTAAATGCTTGGGAATTTGACTCAAGAAGGATGCTTGTATACTCCAACAGATCTATCTCCAACCTTGCAAATTCTTATCATTTAAAACTTTATGATTCAGAGTTTCAATGCCTATCGAGTGATGAACAGGAGTCATGAATCATTTCTCGGCAGATTCCATTGTGGAGGGGCGATGCAGCTTTACAGTTTGTTTATTTTTTAATTGAATCTTGCTGTGTGTCAAATTTACCAAAGAAATGTGCAATTCTATGCTGAGTGCGTAGGAGGTAAACCCACAAATACATCATTCAGAAATAGGAGTGGATACTATCAGAAGGAAGGACCAAAGAAGAGTCACGAATGGGTTTCATTCATCTGGGTACACAGTACAATAGTAAAGAATGAGGGACTTAGCGGTCAATCTCTTTGCCTCAGTCAAGAGCTGAAACTAATCGCTATTCTTTCGGCTTTCATTGAATTTCAACTTAGGCAAATCAAAACCTTTCTGAAAGTGAAGGGAAGTAACTACATGTCCTTGATCTTATCTTTCTTTGTAAGCATGCTTAGAAGATATTCATAGATTTTCATTTCTTTAACATCATATCATTGAAAGCCTTGTCACAAATTTCGGTAAGAAATACTATCTAAAGTTGGAATTTTATGTTATTTCGGAGGAAAATAGTCCCTTGTCAAAAGACGATAAAGCGCTCCTCCAAATTTCGTTCGGCAAAGGAACAATAACCTGTAGCATAGCCAAGAGGACCGAAAAATAAAACCAGTCCTGTTCGGAGAATATGTCACTGGTTCATTTTGAAGAAGACGGAAGAGCAGACAAGACCAAGCTAACGGAGAGTTCGTAACACCTATAAGGTTTTTTTTTTTCTGTGGACCATGCTCATGAATGGGGAGATTTTGTCCTTTAGTAGCGTCCCCTTACGACTTGAAGGACACATTGCTGTCAGGCGTGGAAACTCTCACGGAAATGTGTAAATCCCATTGGAGTCGAGTTTCCTGCCTAATGGCTGCCGGATTCTACCATTCCCAATCAAAACAAACCAAAACAAACAATCGTACCTGTAATTGCATTCAGCCTCTCCACAGTGCCTCACAGGGCAAGGACTATTAATCATGTTCATTGAAAACCTTCCATCCCATTTCAAGATTAGTTACCTGATTTTTCGACTGTTCTTTATGTCTTCAGTGGTGACGGGATGCACGGACGGGATCGGGCTGAGTTACGCCAAGGAGGTGAGGTCCTCAACACCAAATCCAAACAACGATGGTATCATTCCTAATGAGAAATACCTGAAAGCGTGTTCTTTGTACTTATTGTAGTTGGCCCGACACGGGATGAAAATCGTTTTGATCGGCAGGAATATGGAGAAGCTTCAAGAAGTGGCACGAGTCATAGGTAATATTTCGTTCCAAATAGATTCTCTGATGTTTAGATGTTTCTGTCATCAAAATAGGAACATTTTTTCTTTGGCTTCTGTATCTATATTTCCCTTCTATTCAGCTTGTGGCCTTTTAAGCCTAAGTACCGGACGGCGTTTAAAAAAGATCTAAGGTTTTTGCGCTATTTCTCATCAAGATGCGGCAGAGACCTACAAATCATACTTAGAATACATCAATCTTGCCTTTTAGCATGTAAACCATGAATTTATGACTGCCAGAGTATACCCACAGCAGACCATCGACTAAGGCCATCTCGAAATTTTATTTCGTGCCTAATCTCATCCGAAAAGATGCGCAATAGGTCCTTCTTTCGCGTTGTGGGACGTAATCTCGTTTTACCTGGTGGACTTGCAGATCTCCTCCACGTTCATCTCATTCCAGGCATGTCGAGTTCCCGCTCTTGACTTTTAGCACTCAGAAACGCGTCAGCTTGTCGTCATACCGCGCTTGTGCAGTAGCCCCTCCTTCGAAATCGGGGAATGATACATTTTCGAGGCGCCTTAGTTCCAACTTCCGTTGTGTATCTACTCTGGTGACTGAAAATGCATAGTTTTCATGAAACCGAGAGGAAAGATAGATGAATTCGTGGTATGATTTCCATATCTCTACTATGGAGTCGTCCACCGAAGTCTTGGTTTCGACCTTGTATACAGCCTTCTATTGCGGCAATACATTCGTATTCTCGGTGAATTACAATACCGGTGATGGAACTTCTCTCTAGTCCCGCTTACCTCTAGTTGGGTAAAGGCTTTGCCTGTTGCGGCGTAGGTGAATCTACAGATGTTAATACGTGAAAACAAGACTGCCCTCACCAGGGACAATTTGGGCATGCTAGACGTCTGTTGGCTCGATGTCTCACATTTTGCCCTAACGCACAGCCCACAAATCTAGGAAATTACGTTTTGGAAATTCCCAACAGATAAGGAATTCGGCGTTGAGACCTGCATCATTCAAGCCGACTTCACGAAGCTGGACATCTACGACGGGATGAAAGAGAAGCTGGCGGGCCTGGACATCGGGGTCCTGGTGAACAACGTGGGGATCCTAACGGATTTCTCCCCCTTCTTAGACGTGCCCGAAGGAGAAAAGGCGTACCAGGACTTGCTACTCGTGAACAACCTGTCCATGATCCGGATGACCCACATGATCCTCCCTGGAATGGTCAAAAAAAGAAAGGGGATTCTCATTAATGTCTCCTCTCTTATTGGCATCTCCCCTCTTCCTTTCTTGGCAACCTACGCGGCAACGAAGGTATATTTAAGTCAACCTTTAGAGAGAAGCCATCTGAGGCATAACAAAATGCCCCGAAGGCATCACATTTTGACGCTCCAACTAACCAAAGAGGATTATGGTTTATTTTTAAAGAACCTGAATTCTTCCAGGATGAGTAGGTGTATGCCCCATGATTGTTTTAATTGAGGACTTCAACTGCATACCGAAAGAGGGGAAATTCCTGGAAATATTGCGACATATGCGTTGTTTGTTTTTAAACCCAACATGGGTAAAATTTATGCCCCCGTGGAACAAGGCGACCTACGTTGCATTAAATAAGAATACACAATATTTGACTAACAGTTCCAAGATACAATCCATAGCTGGCAAGCTATGGCTTATTACTTCTTCCTTCTAGGCGTTTGCGGACAGCTTTTCTCGGAGTCTTGCCTACGAGTACAAAGACAAAGGGATTCACGTCCACCTCGTCGGCCCTGGGTCAGTTTTCTTTTCCTTCACGGATGTGTAAAGCGATCTATGTTCAATTTCTTTCTATACTTCTTGATGCACATGACTCTTCAGAGCTTCCTGCTAGAATCGGAATGATCCGTCCGTGAATGTTCGTGTTGCTAATTGACAGTGCTATTTGCTGTTTTACATGCAGGCAAGTGTACACGAAAATGACACACAAATTACTGGATGGACCCGGTTTTGGAGCGCCGACGCCGGATGCCTTCGTCCGATCGGATCTTCGCTCCATCACTAAAATCCAAGTTACCTCCGGCTTTTGGTATCATAACCTCTTGGTGAGACAAGAAACTGCAAATAACACTTATTCTATTCTTTTAAACAAGTGTAAGCATTTGAACTTGGCGAACTTCAAAGTTTCGTCGATAACGTCTAGTCAGTGAGTTGTGAAACGAATTTAGTCTCAAAAATAGTTGAGAATGGGGGAAAGGGCGGGGTTGCTTTGCTCGTTGAAGAATGAAAACTGATGAGCAAGTAACAATTGGGCTTGTGAAAGATGAGAGTTGTCCTTTTCTGAGATGATGCGATGACCGGAAAGACTTGGGATACGGCAGGGGCCGCGAAAAATGGACTTGCGCAAAAAAGACGACATGCTAAATATTTTGTAAATTTGGTGAGATGCGATTTAAGAAATCATTAGGTACCATCGAAGTTGTTGGTCTTCTTTTGCCATGTCATGCAGACACAGGCTGACATTGGAATATTTTAATTGAACTTCGAGGAAACCCTGGATCGATACTCATCTGTTCATCCGCCCATGAAAAAACCTCTGCCAGAGACACCCACCCTTTAGAATGAATTGAAGTCCAACGCGGTTTCTACGACCAGGAAGAAGAGCGCGGGAGTGTTTCCTCCCCTTCACTAACCCCCCCCTATCACTAGAGGCTCTTGTCCATTCTCGATGTCAGGCTTCCTCTCAATAGTTGAGGAGTTCTCTGGGAAAAGGGTATATAATGCTCATACGCCCTTTCTCCATATCCACATCCATGCGTTATTTAAAGTGACTTGTCATAGGAGAGGTTGGTCAGCTGCTGGTTAATATGCATATTCTGTAAAGGAGAAACCGATGTCCTTATGCTCTCATTATTTAACAGGGCCAACTGCCTAGCAATTTCAATGTGGCTACCTCCATGTATATTCCATTAGCACTTGCATTACTGAACGATTTGGTGGAAAATTTTAAGAAAGAAAGAGGCGGAGTCATTGAAGCCTCTGGAAGGCTGGAAGAAGTTGGTAATTTCCATGAATTAATCATGAATAAATTAATACTGTATCACTGATTAGTAATTGGCGAATTAAACTTGTCTGAATTTGTATATATTTTTTGCTTTCGTTGTGAAAGATTTTATTTGAAAACTGGATATTTATTTTTTTTTAAAGCAAATTACCATTTTTAACTGGAAAGAAGCGGTGAAAGACTGTTTGGAATAAGTTGCAGCAGCGTCGACATAAAAAAAAGGCGTATGTGCCATGAACACTTTCTACTTGCATTCTAGGGATGTCAAATAAATAAATTCATTAAACCGCCAAGTGCACTTGGGATGAGGCCTAGGAAATCGTTTGACTGGAAACTGAGCTTTGACTAGCCCCAGATTAGCTCAGAGAAGTTTTCGCAGCTCATCTGAGAAAATATGAGAATTTCATATTTTGCACATGCGCCCTTTTTCCCAGAGAAGTCCTCAACTGCAGACTGTATTGCTTCGATCCGAAAAATTCGGATGTGATTCAGGGAGTCAGTTGGAAACAACCTCATGTCTGCATGATGAATGTTTCGCAAGAAAAGCTCCTGTGAGAGTGAAGAAATTCAAGTCGAAAGTCATCGTTATTTTTTTCCTCCATACCCAGTGTGCATGAATCCAATCTTCGTTGCTGAAATGACACTTAATTGGGATAGCGATAAAATGCGACATCATCATGATGTAGGTGCTGCCTCGGAAGGTTCATAACGTATCGACTTTTGACATATTTGTGTTGGTTTGTGTATGGGTAGAGAGAGTTGGAAATGACGCAGAAAGGCCAATATACGACTACGACACGATTCCGATCATGTATTTTGATCAATTTAGCACATCCTCTATATCATATCTTTAATACGGCGAAATTAGGGGGGGGGGGGGGGGGTGAAGATGTTGGATACCTGTTCCAAGCAGAATGAAGAAATTTAGTTGTAGCATTCATATTATTCTCATCCTGGGAAGGAAACTCTTGAAAAACATTGCGTAAATCATTGAAAAGTTCTTCCGTGTCTTCAATGGTCACAATATTAAAATGCATTTTGAGTTGTAACGGAAGTTTAACTTTTTTTTCAGAGAGATTTCATCAGTTTCTTGAATTACGTCGCACCGACCTTGACGGTACATCTGTTGGGATGGAAACTGACGAGCGAGTTGGCCAAGCAGAGACTGGCAGGAAGCAGGAAAAAATGACCGTTCAGTATTATCCGAAGGTTTCACGTGTTCCAGAAGCTCCACATCAAATGGACTATCCATTTTCATGAGTGCAGGAACGATCGGCAGTGTGACCCCTTCCTTGTCCAGAAATATATTGTCTTTTCGTGACTCAGCGCATTATTTCCTTTACCGCACAATCACAAAGGTCGGCACAAAAATGTGCCGACCTTTCTCCGACTTCGTTTCCTCGAGAAATTTTCCACGTGTATTCAACATCGTCTTGGTCTGCGATGGCTGTTATGCTTATGTTATGCTGTTATCCTTCCCTTTGCTTAAAAGCGGCTGTCTAGCGTTCTCCCTTTAAATTGGAAGAAGTTAAGATCGATCCTAATGCGGATGAAGAAAGCAGGCGCCAGCAATGCAAGTGCTACACGAGCACCGTTGTAGCGGAAGGTGGTGCGCCAGCACACTCGAATGCGACTGTAGATGAGAAGGATGTGGTTGTGGCTCCCTCCTCGCCTTTCCTGGACCCAAGATGGTGACGGTCGCTTGGCATCTTCATAGGCTTTACCAGCGAGTCTCGAGGTCAACCGGTTTCAACTACTCATTCTCCGAGGAAAACAAAGTCGGTTTACCGTGTTTCCGTGGGTTCGCTTTGGCACTTTATTCTCCTTACGTCGCTTGGCAGATGAGGAATGAGGTGGACTGCTTTAATGATCAGACGACTTTAGGAACGTCGCTTTTTCGCATTTATATGGTCACGCCGACGCCTAGACGACTCAGGGCTTCTTGCTTATTGCTTACTGGTTTCATTCACGGAGGTAAGTGGAAAAAGCGAATTTGCCTCTTGCCTTTCAGATCGGACGAAGAAAGCAATAGGAGAATGGAAGAGCCATGTTTCTTGTGATCGCTTGCTTCGTGGACGATGACATTCTCGGTGATCGATGGGGCAGGTGTCCAGCTTCTCCACCTGATGAGAAGGCTCTTCATTCACGGCTTCGGTTCTTACCCTCCTCTTACCTCCTATGGCGCCTGGGCAGGTGCGAAAAGAGATTCCCCCAAGTAATTCAAATTCTTATAAACGGAGTATTTAGGCATGGAGTACACGCCAGTGCAGACAGTAGGGAGAAATATATTTAGGGTGTGGCGGGTAGGAGATCTGGAGCTTCTAGTTCCTCCGGAGGTCATGGGATGGCATGCCTCTGATGGGGTGCCGCCCGAGCTCAACAAAATACGACATAATAAGATGTATCCCCGTATTAAGATCGCTATGTATTCATTGGCACACTCCTTTCTGTTCTCAGTGGTGACGGGATGCACGGACTGGATCGGACTCAGCTATGCGAAGGAGGTGAGGCTCGCAAATCGAGATTCAAACGACGATCTCACAAGAAATGAAAGTCTTCAGGGTTTTGCTTTCGTTACAGTTTCGTTACAGGTTACCATTAGAAAGATCTCTATTAGAAATATGAAATTGTCTATTGGCCAAAACCAATCGGTTCACGAGGTCAGGAGCAGTAAAAACTGATGCAGTGTAATTCGCAACAAGCTCGACAGCTGACAGTTACTAAAGAAAATAAGGTTCCCAAAATAGACGTGAGATGGCGGGTAAGTTTCCGCCGTAGCGAAATGTACTTAAGACTTTTCGAGGAAGAGTTCGCATAAGCTTGTGGGAAGGAAAAAGTGTCCACCTATTCGTGGTGGAGTTTCACCACTCGGAGAAACTTAATTTCTGACATTTCATCCAGAAATCAATGTCCCATATGGGCGATGGCTTTGAGTAAGGCTAAAATCATATCTTTAATATTGAACTGAGTGTTGCGTAATGGTCATGCTCGCAATTTTCGAAGTGTGATGAGCCTTTCAATTTCGTCATTGAGACGAAACAGCGTAGAAACGCGATTTGAGCCATCTTCATGGGTATCTAAATTCTATTCGGAAATATTAGGCTACTGATGGTGACGTCGAACAACGGCTGCCCTCGTTAGGATTCAAGTTGGCAGTGCAGGTGGAAAGCGTAATCGAATGCAGACTGAATGCAGGAGGCAGTGACAGTGTTCTGAAAAACGAACAGGATTTCCAAGGTCCCATCTTGTATTGAAAACCTTGTATTGAAAGCGCGAGAGATACTTCCTCGATTGTGCAGAAAATGAAAATGGAGATTAAGATCCCGCTCCAACTGAATCTCAAGCAAAGTTTCTGTATTCAGATGAATCTTGTGATGATATCTCTCTCTCCGTCTCTCTCTCTCTCTCTGTCTTGAGAGAGAGAGAGAGGAATGAATTCAAGAATCCGATTATTGATTCTTGTGTTTCTTCTTGTTCTTCTCCATTTCCGATGTCACGTGCCGTCCAATCATGTTCGTCATCTCCTGAGGTGCAACGTAATTCACAAAACGCGAAGCCTCCCTCTGGAAAGAAAAATCCGTTCAACTCTGGTAACATATATAAGTTTCCAACAGTGTTCCATACATGCTTTAAAAAGAATACACTCATCGTCAAAAAAGTACCACCAAGAGGAATTGACTAATATTGATTAAAGTTGATACACCAGCTCGAAGCAGTGGGTCATAAAAGTCATTAGAGTTTCAAGGGCTTAGGATTATTCACATGAAAACTTGCCAAAATCTCGCATTAAAAAGGGGACGAAGAGATTGTACTAATCACCCCAGAAACAATCCACTTTCCTGTTCGGCCATTGGATCTGACTGCGAAACAATGCAGAAATTAAATCCTTGAAGTCAGTATCAACATGTTGTTCGATCGATGTCGGCGAAAAAGTATGCATGTCTCATTTTCAAGGATAAGCCCCACACCATCAAGTTGTTACATGTTAAGCTTCCGAATTAACCTACGTCGATCAAACTTCCGAACAACTAGCAAAATTAGACTCCAGAGACTTCATGTCATCAGTGTTTCGCAGTTAGATACTCAACAATGGTACAGCAACACAATGACTTAAGAGAAAAGGAAGTAAATTGTCTTCGTCAAAGGCGCTGCCCGCTTTCTCCATTCCAAAGGCGTTCAGCTGGTGCTTTCTGCATTGTCTCATCATGTGAACTGAAAAAAGTTGTTCGATTCTCCTAGGCACATTTCAGAGTTCCACTTCCAAGTGGAAATCCTTATGTGCGACAATACGAGGCAATCTGTACGTTCCCTCTGCATCATTTACATTCGCACGTTAGCCTTGAAATTCTTCCAACTGCCTTGAAACTTCATTCGATTCCATGACACACTGCTATGAGTTTGAGTACCAAATTTCACAAAAATCCCTTAACTCTTTTTGATGGTGCTCATTTTGTTAAGCACTTTAAGTGCAATCATGAATATTTTTGTAATTCCCAGGGGATTACAGAAATTATTAAAATCGTCACTAAATCCAAAATCATCAAGCAGCCGGTATCGCCATGACCATAAACATCAGACTTGAAGCGGGACAAAGAAGGGATTACATAGAATATGTAGATATAGTCGTCGAAATTATATATATATATATTTTAATGCAAAGATTAACTACTGTATTGGAAACCCTGCAGCAGCTCCCAAATGAATACAAGGAATAACAATTTTCAAGTCATTCGTGACTTTTTTTTGTATTTTCCAATGAATGTTGACTGCTTACACCACGGTGTTAAAGCAATTCATTTGACTCCCATTATGGTTCTCCCTTCATGGCATTTCCATCTGGATCAAATTTATCATCTTGCGAATCAAATTAATTTATTTAGATGGTCTTCCATCTGATCTTGTCATCAAATGCTGCAATACAGTGCAAACGACAGGCACCTTCAGTTTCCATGGCAAACAATGCAAAAATTTTGCATGCAAAATGCAAAAAATTTCAACTCAAACCTCTTCTCCCTCATGAAATCTCAATCAGCGTTGCTTAGATCATGCCTTCAAGGAAAAATTGGGCATGTGGAACTATTAGGTGGCAGCACAAAGGAGGCTCTGACGACAGGTTTAGCGTCAGGTGCCGCAGAGCAAGTCACGTGCAGGATCTCCAAGCACAAATTGTATTTTTGCAATCGGAACGAACTGGAACGTTCATCTTAAGATATATAATCGATGCTTATCGTCATCCCATCCATTTACCTACTCTTCCTTACTTACCCGTTTTTCTTACTTTGGCAAACGATTGACAGCTATCACAGATGATTATGGTGAAGCACTTCCGATAAGATCTTATGTTCTCCTCACATGCACTTGTGAGGGTTTGAGAGAATAATGATGCCTGGCGGGGGTTCAATTGACCTTACTTTTTGGAAAGGTGAAAATAAATGATCGATTCTTTCGCAGATCTTACCATGAGGTTATGAAACCAATAACCGGAAGTAACTTGGATTTTGGGGATGGAGCGCAGATCGGATCGAACGAAGGTATCCGGAGTCGGTGCTGTCAAACCCGGTCGATCCAAGAATTTGTCAGCCATCTTCGTGTACACGAACCTGCTCGCCAAGTTAAAAACAGCAAAGCCCAATATAGTGTGCAGTAATTCAGGACAAAAGCCACTTGAACAGCAACAGCTTAACTGCTCAACAGCGGTTTACAATCAAGTCTGACAGAGCGCTTCTTCACTAAATGCAGTTCGTGGTATATAAAGAAAGGAATAGTAGTATATTCACTGCCCTTTTTTAAACAATGAAATGGAAATGACTGTAATTGCTGGTCTGCCTTTGAGGAAAACTGACCCAGGACCGACGAGGTGGACGTGAATCCCTTTGTCTTTGTATTCATAGGCCAGACTCCGAGAAAAACTGTCAACGAATGCCTGAAAGGAAGGTGAAATGATGCATAGTTTCCCGAAAATACCGTACATCACTTTAAGAATGATCGTGCAATTAATTACCGGGATTTTCTTTTTCAGTACGCGGGGGGACACCTTAATTTAAAATTATTGGTATTCAGAGCTATGCTAAGCTATTAAATCCTGAATGACCGCAGGGGAAAAAACTAATATCCAACGTGCAATATACAAGATGTCCATGAAGGTATAACTCAAAAATAACCTGTCATAAATCAATAGCAAAGTACTTCATCGCCATGAAATCCCCCCTGCATGAACCTGTACATTTTTTGTGTTAATGTATTGTCTCATGCATATTCTTGTCTGTCACCCACATGTCAACCGTATCGCTGACGACAACAGCACCCAGCGGTACGAGAGTGCCGCCCACTAACATTTCCTGCGTAAGGCTGGTAAATGCTTCCCCTAAGCGGTTCCTTAGGTCTGTCACATCACATAGTCCCTTGTCATATACCTTTTCTTTGATATAAACCCAGACGAAGAAGTTTATAGGTGTGAGATTGAGAGAGTTCAGGATAGTTGGCCACCTCGTCCGCATCACATTTGGTGGTGTCGATGAGAGAGTGTGGATGAGGGGGCCCAGTCAAAGAAAAGGTGTATGCCCTGAGAATGTGTGATGCCGGTCGCGCTCGGTTTCTTTTGACCGATCAATTCACGCATTCTCGTCCCATAAATCAGTCCAAAGGCGTGACACCTACATAGAGAGTTTATACCGTGGGCGTCAGGCATGTGGGTGTGTCCAAACCCCCATTTAGTACTAGTTACCAGTTGTACAAGCAAAAAATTCGTCCTAGAGACGGTACCTCAGCCGTAGAAAGCCTCAATCACAACACCATTCTCACTTTGAGTCCAGATTCTTGCTACTTCGTTGGTATTCGATCCCCCTCGTCCTCGTCACGTCTTTCCGTATTGTTAAAGTGATAAACAAGACAAACTTTTCAACCTTATTCAAGGAGGTTCGGGAGAACTAAGATGGAAAAGAAAGTGCCTGCAACGACGAATGTTAGTGGTTTTTAACATATCATAGGTACAACTCTGGTATGAGTGCATGCACACGTGTCCTGCATTCTTCATCTGAGAAGATTGGTAGGAAAAATATTTTAAAATACCTTTGTTGCCGAGTAGGTTGTCATGAAAGGAACCGGGGAGATGCCAGCAACAGAGGAGACATTGATAACGACCCCCTTTCCCTTCTTCACCATCCCAGGAAGGATCATGTGGGTCATTCGGACCATGGACATATTATTGACCAGGAGCATGTCCTGGAACGTCTTCTCGCCCTCCGGGACATCTAGGAAGGGCTGGGGGTCGCTCGCCATCCCCACGTTGTTCACCAGGACACCGATGTCCCGGCCTGCCACTTTCTCCTTTATCCCATCGTAGATGTCCAGCTCCGTGAAGTCGGCCGGAATCATGAGGGTCTCCGTATCGAATTGCTCCTCTGATTGGGAATTCAAGAGCTTGGGACGTAGCTCGATTTGCGAGTTGAACAATAGGGTGAAATGTGAGGCAGCGAAGATGAGGTGGATGAAACTAAAAGTATTAATATATTTCTTTGGCGTGATCTCAGCATTTAATTCCTAACAGAAGACTGATTGAAATAGGAATATTACGAAGACTTGAAAATACTGTATATAGGCCAACTTACTCGTTCGTATTCACTGCAGGTATATACTTTATCATTACTTTATATGTTTCATTCCTTTTTTTAATTTGTTCTCGTAACGTTTTTATGCTTTTCCACATGCATGCTACTTTTTAACAAATGATTTTAGTCCCATATGGATATCACTCATTCTGTTAAAAGTTTTAAGGTCATGTTCTTTCCATGTTAAACATTTTTTTGTCGATTTTCAAAACGTGCGAACATCCCGCTGGAAGAAAAGATAACGCGACCTTTGACCCTTAAAACTCTTCTTACTTTCCAGTTCATCGAAGGATTTACATGCTTTCCCCAAATTATTTGAAAAAAATCTACGAATGTAGAAACTTACAAAAAATTGTAATCCTTAGGAATGACTGAAAAAAAAAGGAAAAGAAAGAACATCTTACTCAAATCCACAGCGACAGCTTCAAGCTTCTTGGGATTCCTGCTGATCAAAACGATTTTCATTCCGCGTCGGGCCAGCTGCAACAAGAGCAAAACCGTTTATTTCTCGTGAGATTGTTGTTTGAATCACGATGTGCGAACCCCTCACCTCCTTCGCGTAGCTGAGCCCGATCCCGTCCGTGCATCCCGTCACCACTGAGAACAGAGAGAAGCGTGACAACATCCATAACAATATAGGCAAGCGGATATTAAGTTATTTATGTAACGAGGGACGTCTTGGGGAATGCGGAGTTAACACAGATAGTCGAAATCTGGTAGGGATGGATGAGTGGGGTGTGAGTGTCAAAGATAGGACGTCTACACCTGTGACATCTATGCACGTTAATATCTTTCCTCCATTTATTGGGTATTCCCTCCATGCTTCAGCAGTCTCATGATCCTATCGCATGCAAAGCATCACCTTAATGGTGTTAATGCTACTGGAGCAGCTAAAACGCGTCGCGTTTTTATTTCACCTGGTCCATTTGTCGAACATGAAATTTGCTTCACACTGTGCTTACTTATAATTTTTATATTTTTACTCTGTACTATTTTCTTAGGGGGGCACACTCCGCTTCTCGGAGGGTGCCCCCACTCTTCCTTACGAGAAGTTCTGGACCATGATATCCCCTGGAACGAGATGAGGCTACGCGTTGTGCGCCTGCATACTCCATTTAGGAGATGAGTTTGAATTATTTGAAGGAAATCTCTCACCTGCCCAGGTCCCATAGGAGGTGAAAGAGGGGTAGGAACCAAAGCCGTGGATGAAGAGCCTTTTTATTAGGTGGGAAAACTGGACGCCTGCCCATGCCAGCACCGAGTACGTGATGATGTTCGATGCTATCGACCATAAACAACACCCTTCTCCCATTTTCGTATTACTTTCTTCGTCCGATCTAAGACATAAGAAGGGAAGTCTTTTTTTCCACATCCTTCATACATGAACACTATAAACAAAAATATAGGCTAATTTGTTGGCTAAGGAAAAAATTCCTGTACATACTGAACATGGGGTACATCATTCCACAGTTGATTTAACGCGACGTTGCCTGCGCGTCGGCCTGAAACCTCCATAGAAAGCGTTAAATTGACATATCTGAAGTAGAGTAATCCTCAAAGCGGCTTAACTCGGGCACCCGACACGGGGAGTTAAAGCGCTTTAGCGAACCCTTGGAAACAGGCTAAAAGGACTCAACCTGCATGACTTCCAGGGATCAGTCTAGACCAGATCCCCCTTGGGGGCAGGACCTGACTGTTCAATTGACTTCCGCGAAAACGGGCCGCAATTAATAAATCTATTTCAGATTAGTTTTATTGTACCGATTTTTTTCATGGAGGTTTCTTCGAAACGCTTTTAGAAAATGTCGAACTACCTAAGATCGACTTGAGGAACCAAAATTCGTTTTCATGGCAGTTCCCCCTTTATGAAGCGCTTTAGGCCTACAGCACACGGAAACACAGGTTCCGTTTTAGAAATTACCATGGAAACGCAGTGTTAAGCTAATATTTCTGAAGAAGAAAGCCTCCACGGAACCACTTGATCGTGGCAAAATATTTTTGCGATAAGGTCGATGAAATATCAAAGCATTTAATGTCATGGTTGTTCAGATGACTGACGTGCAGAAACTGGTCCATGACCTCACATTGTATCAATGGAATTTACCAAACAGAATTTCAATCGTCTCCGAAATTCCTCGATCCCTTTTCAAGAACTGAATGCTCATTTACTATGGAATCTTATCTCTCAGCTCACTCTGTCGCCTCGCGCTCGCGCGACTATCGCTGCCATGCAATAATTCCAACGACTCAGAGAATTCAAATTACTCTCCATCTCTCGGGGGAACAGCGGATCGGTTCGTTTTAGTTCGTGAGGGTCTTCTGAGCGTTAGTCTGCTTCACTTCGCGTTTACGTACTACTTGTCCTTTCCTCATGATATCGCCACAAGGATTTGACGAGTTCTCTGAAAATCCCAAGCGCATATTTTTGCATCAGGGATGCTCGCAACGAGAAATTTCGAAAACGAAATTCGTGTTCACAAGACCTACAATACCTTTCCTCTGAGGAAAATAGCAGTAAAAATTGAACAAAACCAGGTCACATATTGAGCACTCGTTTCGCCTTCACTCGCTGTTGAGGACTAACCGAGGGATCTCACCGATAAGATAAAAGTTCCTCTTTCAACAAAGTCTCCTCCCCCTCACGAGAGGAAAGGACTTCATTCAGGATTTCACACTTATCAGAGGATGTTTATAATGGTCTAGAGTTTTGCTTAACCTCGCGATTAGGAGCAATTCCCTGCGATAAGGCTACGGAGTGTTTTCCAGAGACGACCACGTTTTCCTAGTGTATTTTCTACGATCCGAAAAATAAAGCTCTTAGACGCCTCTTAGATCCATCGATGGGGCCGAGATTTCGTGTTGTGGATCCGAGCGTTTCGGAAAGTGATTAAGTCATGGATCGATTGAGTTCAGCTCAATCCTCTGGTGCCTCCGATTGCGATGCTGATTGCCTCTGATGTGTGCCGATTTCACGCCACAATGGTTTAAAGGGAGGGCGAGTCCCTCCACGAAGTGGGCGCGACTGAGAAATTCCTCCTCGCTGGAGACGAAGGAAGCCAACATGCCCTTCGTTCATCGCGTTCCTCGTCCCACCCACAACTCTTCCCCGCAAGTACCATTCTACGAGATATCACCTCTCGAGGCCCAGGTATTTTGCATCAAAAAAACTTCAAGTTCTTCTTTGTGTCCACTGCACAGCGTATTTCATATGTATTGAGATTGCATGGACATCTTGCTGCGGGTGAACGCCAAGTTCCGCGCAAGTTTCCACTTGCATACTTCCAGTATCGCCTCGATCGATCTTCTTCATGGAATGAATGATTCTGATGGACGACCATAATAACAAAGTAATCATATGGGCTTGTGTCATATTATTCCTCATATTATTATGAGTAATTGTCGGAGATCATCGCCTCAACGTAGAATCACTTATCACTTATGTATGGCTCATGTATGGCTCAAATCACTTATGTATGGCTTTTTTTTTACTTTCAGTTATACAGTTGAACTCGGTTATAACGTCGTCAAAGGAACCAGGAGAAAAACCGTCGTTATAACCGAGGTTGCCTTTATCGGCATTCCGTTTTCCTCTTTTCAAAGTTGATGCAATATAATGCAACAACTCCAGTGCATATCGGTCATACCGCACTAGCTTCAGTTTCAGGATTGACCCGCTAATCGTGATGTTCGCACTTCTTTGGATCTTGAACTACTTCATACTTAAACAAGGCTTCGTCGACGTCATCTGGACATATCTAGGAAATTTATTGTTTTGTGACATGTTCTCTTAAACACGGATGAAGCTGTCACGATTTTTTCTAATTGTGGAAACAAATGAACGGATGTCCATGTTCGCAAGTGATGTTAGCTTTACTTACCACTTTCTATTTAATTAATCAAGCACACTTTCCTTTCAATCGTGAAAGCTTGCCTCTTTCGTTTTCCATCGGCCATGTTGTCGACGAGAAACGCAAATGGCGACTGAAGATGAGGTGATCTTAGTTACTGGGGATTATCCCTCCCTAACGTTGCTCTAGCCACACCCACATGACTCTCAAGGAATGCCGATTCCAGGATTGGCTCGCCAACGCTCTTTCTTCCGATGACGGAAATTTTAGTGAAGAATGACGGATTAGGGACATGAACGTTGTCAATTTCGTCTTGATGACGCACAGCTGAAACAATCCTAATAATAGCAATAGCGCCACTTTTTTCGATTCTCATCTACGGGCATAGGCTGAAACACTTGGCTCATATGGAAGCAGACCAATAAACTTTTTCTTCTCATTTGAGAAAACTATCTTTTATGTCCTGTTTTCTTGTTTGTTTTTTTTTTTGCAAACGAAAATTTTCAATAATAATAGATGAAAGTATCCAATCGTGTCCATTGATGTCATGGTGCCCTTTAGGTAGATCTCTTTGCAAAATAAAAAAAGTCAATTGGCTCGGACCAATCTTTTAACGTGGTCAGGAGCAGTAAAAAACGGTGCAGCTTAATGTATGATACATCAAGCTAGACACCTGGCAGTCACTCGAAGAAACAAGGTTCCCAAAGTAGACGTCAGATGTCCCCTAAGTTTCCGTCGCAACAAAATGCGTTTAGACCGTTCGAGAAAGAGTCGGCATGAGCGCATGGGAAGCACGTGATCACTCTATGGATTCTGATTCGATTGAATTCCGAAAGATGCATCAGAGTGGGTTTTCCTTTCAACACTTTTCGAGCATCGAGTCGGACCGATGAACTTTTCAGATTTACGCGTCGAAATCAATTTGATGGCGCCGATGTCGTCAGTAGGGGCAATCGGACACATCGCTGTGGGGTTTCCGCCTTCCTTTGCGATGTGGATTGTGATTTGGAGGCGATATCGCGGGGATCAGGTAGGGACCGATGCGATTTATTGGTGTGCAAAACTAAATATTGTTTTAAATGTCATTTCTTTCAATGCGAAAATTTTGTAGAATGAAAATGGTGGTTAAGATCCCGCTGCATATTATATCTCTGAGTCAAGCCAAGTTTCTGTATTCAGATGAATCTTGTTCATATCGAGAGGGAGAGGGAGGGAGAGAGAGAAAAGAAGGAATTCAAGAATCCGATTATTGTTTCTTGCATTTCTCCTTGTATTTCTCCATCGCCGATGTCACAAACTGTCCGATCATATTCGTCATCTTGTAGGGTGCAACGAAATTCATGAAACGTATAGCCTCCCTCTGGAAAGGAAAATTCGTTCCACTTTGTTAATATCTCCAAGTTTCCAACAGTGTTCCGTGCATGCTTTGCAAAAGAACACACTCATCGCCAAAAAAAAAAACACACCAGATTTTTTCAGTCAGATTTTCAAGGGCGTAGGAATATTCGCAAAGAAAACTTGCCATGCACTCTACTTCAAACGGGAATGATGGAATCACACAAATCGCCCCAGGAAGAATCCACTTCACTGTTCGGCCGTCGGATCAAACTGCTAAACGATGCAGCGATGAAAACCTTAAAGTCGAACTGGATTCTGACTGCTTATACTGCGGCGTGGCAGTCAGAATTCGTGTATGTTATTTGACTCCCGTATCTTTCTCCCTTCTTGGGATTTTCATCTGGATCACATTTATCAAGTTGCGAATCGAAGTAATGCGTTTAGTTGCTCTTTCATCTGATCGTGTCATAAAATGTTGTAATACAGTGGAAATAACAGTGCACCTTCGGCTTCCCTCCCCAGCCCCCCCCCCCTCCGCGTGAGACTACCCTTTCTCAAAGCTCACCATCCATAACCCAACGCCCTCATCGTCTCCATAACCACCACCCCTCTTTCCCTCTTTCTCATTAAAATGGAAATAAAAATCCGGACTCCTTGGTTTCTTCACATTCACCCTAGCGGCCATCTCCCCCCTTGCACAAGATTTTCCAATCTGCTTCGCATGTACACTAAAACTTCCCTTCGCGCACTCACACGAACTCTTATCTCTCAGCTCTTACTTTCGCAAGAGGGCACCTGATTAGGCCCTTCCGACCAGCTGGAACCGCAAACACTTTTTCATCTTCGGGGCATCTGTCCTTAACCCTTCCGATATAATATAATCGTAAATATATATTCCGTAAATATAACATCGACTTAAATAAAATCACACCTCACTGACTCATGAAATAAAACGGCTAGGACCCTATAGATCGCACTTCTCTTCGGCTCAGGTGGACCTAAATACTAAGCGCCCCAAAACACTGATACTAACCTAAATAAATTCAGGTTGCTTTCTCAATAAGGCCGCATAGTTCCTTATTCATTAATTAAACTCCTAAAGATAACAAACCTCAAAGGAAATATTCTGGGCGGGGGGCAGCAGCTCTCTCTCAGGCTGACTTCTCCCCCATAGCCATGAGTCACATTCTCAGGGCTAAGTCATTAGTTTCATGAGGGTCTTGCTCTCTGCCAGCCCTCATGTCAGGAGGATCTCACCATGGTGGGCGAGAATCATGTGTCGGTCCACCACATGATAGCGGAGCGCACCATACCTTTAGCTCCTAACTTTATAATTAAAAAAGGATAATCTCTTCCTGAAAGAGTTCCAGTAAAATAACGAGTTCAGGGATACAATTAATTCCCTGGTTCTTCGTCCTGAGGTCAGAATGAGGAAATTTAATTTCTGTTTACTATATAGAACATCAAGGGATGGCCCATTACCTAAAATGTATTATAAGTAGTACCATAATTAGGTTGACGCAGAAAAAGCGGACATACATGGAGTGGCACATGCATACTGTACACATCGTTCGTACCATGCTTACACATGTAGATACGCAATCATGGTTCTGCATGTCGCGGACTTGACATACTCATAAGCCACACTTGGCCCACAGATGTATTAGACTCGGTGCCACAGAAAATGCGGGCATTTAGGTTACGCCCTATGCACATTACTCCCGTGGCGCAGGTGTAGAAGTGAGGCTCGTGAACGCGGGCCAAGCTTGGAACATCTGACTGTGCGGAGATCAACACACTTGGCCTCGGGATTAATTGCTGCCTTTGGATTGGGTGGCAGGACAAAGGAGGATCTGACGACATAAAGGACAGGTGCCGCAGTGTGAGTCACATGCAGGAGCTCCTGGCACAAATTGTCTTTTGCAATCGGAACGGTCTGGAACGTTCGTCCTAGGATGAATATCGATAAAAGTATACGAGTATACTCGTATAATTCATTGCCTATCCGCATACCTTCCGTTCATCTACTCTTCTTTACTTACCCACTTTCTTACTTTAGCAAACGATTGCCAGCCGATCACCGATGATTACGGTGAAGCGCTTCCGATAGGATCATATGTTCTCACATGCACTAGTGAGGAATCGGGAGAATAATGAGGCTTTGCAATCATGGAGGTCGAGATCGAGAAAAAAATAATTGCATCGCAGTTTGCGCCGGGTTCAAACGACCTTACTTCTTGGAAAGGAAAAAATGAATCATTGATTCTGTCGCAGGTCTTACCATGAGGTTATGAAACCAATAACCGGAAGTAACTTGTATTTTGGGGATGGAGCGCAGATCGGAACGAGCGAAGGTATCCGGAGTCGGTGCCGTCAAACCCGGCCGATCCAAGAATTTTTGCGTCATATTCGTGTACACGGCCCTGCGTGTCAAGTGAAGAACAACAAAGCCCAATATACTGTAAAGAAGTTCAGGACAGAAATCACTTTAACAGCAACAGCTTGGTTGTGGGTCACAATCGGGTCTGACATGGAGCTTCTTCACTAAATGCCGTTCGTGGAATATAACTAAAGTAATAAGAATGTAATAGGACGTATGTTCCCTTCCTTATTTGAGAAATGGAGTGGAATAGAATTTATAGCATGCCTGCCTTTGAGAAAAACTGACCCAGGGCCGACGAGGTGGACATGAATCCCTTTGTCTCTGTATTCGTAGGCGAGACTCCGAGAGAAACTGTCCACAAATGCCTGAAAGGAAGGTGAAATGTTATATAGGTTGCCGACATTACCGTACATCACATTCATAAATATCGTGCAGATAATTGAATTTTATTTTCCAATCCACAGAAGGACATTTAATTGCAAATTCATGATATTCTAACCGATGCTACGCTATTAAATCCTGACTGATCGGCGGGAAAATATAAATATACAACATGGAATGTGCAGGGTGTCCATGAAAGTATGCCTCAAAAATAATCCGTCATAATACAGTAGCATTGAACTTTATTGCTATGAAATCCCCCTCCCCTTCCCCTTGCATGAACTCACTACATGTACTTTTTGTGGTAATGTCTTGTCAGAAATCTTCATGTCTGTCCTGCAGATGTCCACCATCTCGCTAACGATAAAATTTCCCGCAGTCGAGAGTGCTACCCACTTACTCACTGACAGTTACTTCTTAAGGTTGGAGAATGCTTCATGTATGCAGTTCCTTAGGTCTGTCATATCACCCAGTCTCTTGGCATTGATCTTTCCATTCATATAACTCCAGACGAAGAAGTCTATAGGTGTGTGATCGGGAGAGTTCAGGAGAATTGGCCACCTCGTCCACTCACCTGTGGTGGTGTGGACGAGTGGGCTCAATCGAAGAAAAGGTGTATGTCAAGAGAATGTGTGATACCGGTTTCGGTCGGCTTCAAATCGGTTTCAGTCAGATTCAGTCGGTTTCAAATCGATCAACTCACGCATCCTACTCCCAAAATTCAGTCCAAAGGGCTGATAGGCCTACCTCCTTCGGGAGTTTACTCCACCGGCATGAGGCAGAGTTCCATGTGTTTGTGTCCTAACCTAAATTTAATTCGAGCTACCAGATTTACGAGCAGAAATTCTTCCTAGGGATGGTACCTCAGACGGAGAAGGCCTTAGTCACTACACCATTCTCACTTCATATGGATTCGATCCATATCGCCCTTTGGTACTTATACCCGTATGATTAAAGTTATAAAAAATACAAATTTTCTGACGTTTTTCATGGACCTTCCGGAGAATTGAAAAGAAAGTGCCTGCAATAAAGAATATTAGTAGTTTTTAACAGATCGTACGTGGAACTCTGGTATGAGTGCAGCAGGCACTCGTGTCATGCATTCTTCGTCCAAGAATATTGTCCTAAGGAATATTTTTAAATACCTTTGTTGCAGCGTAGATTGTCACGAGAGGAACCGGAAAGATGCCGAAAATGGAGGAGACATTGATAACGACCCCCGTTTTCTTCTCCACCATCATAGGAAGGATCATCTTGGTCATTCGGACCATAGACATATTGTTGACCAAGAGCATGTCCTGGAACGTCTTCTCGCCGTCTGGGAGATCTAGGAAGCGGTTGAGGTCGCTCGCCATCCCCACGTTGTTCACCAAGACACCGATGTCCAAGCCTTTCACTTTCTCTTTTATCCCATCGTAGATGTCCAGCTTCGTGAAGTCGGCCGGAATCATGAGGGTCTCCGTGTCGAATTTCTTCTCTGAATGGAAATTCCAGAGCTTGAGACAGAACTCAATTTCCGAGTTTAACATTAAGGTAAGATGTGACGCAGATGAGAGTGAAAGTATTGATATATTTCTTTGACATGATGTCAGCATTTAGATCGTAAAAGAAGACCGACTGAAATGGTATTATTAAGAAGACTTTAAGTTGTACAGGCCAAATACATATTCGTATTCATGTTCTTTACAGGTATATGCTCGTTTTGTTAAGTTTTCATTTCTTCATTCAAATTTCTTCTGGAACATTTTTATTCTTTTTCTTTTTTATATTACTTTTTAACGGACTTTTTAGTGTCATACGGTTATCACTCATTCTGTTTTATAATTAAATTATATGATTTAAGGTCTTATTTTTTCTATGCATCACACGTTTTCTTTTTCAAAACGTGTAAACGTTCCCCTGAAAAGAGATAACGCTACCTTTGACCTTGGAGTTCCTCCAGGGAACAACATTCTTTCTCTAGATTATTAGAAAAAAAATCAACAAATGTAGAAACTTACAAAAAATTGTAATCCTTACGAACGACTGAAAAAAATGAATAGAAAGAACATCTTACTTAGATCCTCAGCCACAACTTCAAGCTTCTTGGGATTTCTGCTGATCAAAACGATTTTCATCCCGAGTCGGGCCAGCTGCAACAAAAGCAAAACCGTTCATTTCTCATCAGACTGTCGTTTGAATCTCGATGTGCGAATCTCACCTCCTTCGCGTAGCTGAGCCCGATTCCGTCCGTGCATCCCGTCACCACTGAGAACAGAGGAAAGTGTCACAACATATCCATAATAATATAGGTAAGTGGACATTAAGTTATTCATGAAAAGATGGAAGTCTTCCCATCCTCCGAAAATACTGAGTTAGGAGAGATAGTCGTAATATGTGGGGGGGATGAATGAGTGGGTTGTGAGCGTCAAAGATTGGACATCTACAAATGTTACTACTATTCACTTTTTAATTCTTTCCTCCGTTTATTGGGTTTTCCCTCTGTTTCAGCAATCTCATGATCCTATAGCATGCGATGCATCACCTAAATGGTGTTCATGTAAATACAGCAGCTAGAACGTGATTCTTTTTTCAACTGGTTCATTTGTTGAACATGAAATTCGTTTTACACTGAGCTTACCTGCGATTTTTACATTTTTACTCTGTACTATTTTCTTAAACTTCTCAGAGGGTGTCCCTTCTCTTCCTTACCAGAGGATTTGGACCATGATCTCCTCTAGAACGAGGTGATTCTGATCCCCACCCCCCACCCGGGTACATTTCTTTCTGGCTACCACAATGCGCTCCAACAATCTCCTAGGAGATGAATTTGAATTCCTTGAAGGAGTCTCTCACCTGCCCAGGCACCATAGGAGGTAAAAGAAGGGTAGGAGCCGAAGCCATGGATGAGGAGCCTTTGTATTAGTTGGCAAAACTGGACGCCTGCCCAAGCCAGCACCGAGAACGTGATGATGTTCGATGCTGTTGACCATAAACAACACCCCTCTCCCATTTCCGTATTACTTTATTCGCTCGATCAGAGACATGAAAAAGAAAACTTTTTTCCCACATCATTCGTACATGAAAACATTAAACAAAAAAATTAGGTTTATTTGTTGGCTAAAAAAAATGTCCTGCTCATACTGAACATGGGTACATCTTTCCACAGTAGACCCGTGGCACCGTTACCTTAACGTCGGCCTGAAACCTCCATAGAAAGCACTAAATCGACATATCTTAAGTCGACTAATCCTCGAAGTAGCTTGCCCCAGGCCACCTCATGTGTGGAACTTGAAGCGCTTTAAAGAAACTTTTTAGAGAATCTGCTTCACTTCGCATTTACGTACTTCCTGTCCTTACCTCATGATATCGCCCCGAAAATAGGACAAGTACTATAAAAACCCAAGTGCATGTTTTTTGCATCAGAGATGCTCGCAACGAGAAATCATATTGTGAGAAAACATTGAGCACTCGTTTCACCTTCACTCACTGTTGAGGACTAAATGAACAAGGAACTCTTATCATATCTCACAGATGTGATAAGAGTTCCTTGTTCAACAAAGTCTCCTCCCCTCACGAGCAGTGGCGTAGCGAGGGGAGCTGGGAGGGGCTTCAGACCCCAAGTTTGGTTCAAACCCCCCCCCCCCCGACTCTGGTCAAAATGCATCCGCCACCCCTTCCACGCACCCGTCCCCCGCTGGTGGGAAGTGAAGATAACCCCACACTGTTCTTCTTAGCTCCCCCGTTGGTGATATCTTGGCTACGCTACTGCTCACGAGAAGAGAGGACTTCATTCAGTATTTCATTTAAAACATCACACTTATCAGAGAATGTTCAGAATAGTATAGAATTTTTCTTAACATCGCAATTGGGAACAGGCAAGCCTACGATAAGCCTAAGGAGTCTTTCCCAGAGATGACCATGTTTTCCAAGTGTATTTTCCACAATCTGAAAAACAAAGCTCTTAGACATCTGCGCATGAATCGATGAAACCAAGATTTCGTGTTGCGGATCCGAGCGCTTCGAAAAGCGATCAAGGTGTGGATCGACTCAGCACAGCTTGTCCTGTTTTCTTCATTTTTTTTTGACAAGCGAAATGCTGCAATAGGAGATGAAAGTGTCCAATCGAGTCCATTGACATCATGGTTCCCATTATGTATTAATAGATGTCTTTATATAAAATGAAAAAGTCTCTGGGCTTGAACCCAAGGGGTAACGAGGTCAGGAACAGTCAAAAGCCGAGCCGTGGAACGCACATCAGGCTAAACACCTGGCAGTCACTCGAAGAAGAAACAACGTTCCCAAAATAGACGTGATATGGCTCATACATTTCCACTGCAGCAAAATGCTTTTAGACTCTTCGAGGAGTCCGCATGATCGCATGGTAAGGAAAAAGCATCCACCTCTTCGCAGCGGAATTTCTTCACCCGGTGATCACTCAATGGATTCTCATTCGAGTGAATTCCGAAAGATGCATCAGAGTGGGTTTTTCTTTCAAAACTTTTGGAGCATCTAGTTGTACCGATTAACATTTCAGATTTACTACTCGAAATCCATTTGATGACGTCGATGTCGTCAGTAGGGGCAATCGGACAGGTCGCCGTGGGGTTTCCGCCTTCTTTTGCGACGTGTTGCGATATCGTGGTGATCAAGGTACGGACCGATAGGATTTAATGGTGTGCAATGAGACATATTGTTTAAATTAATATTAATTTCAATCCGACTCACCCCAGTTTTGCCTGTTTCTCCTCTTACATATCCTCACATGTTCGTGCCCAAACGCAATTGGATTTATTGATAAATGTCCTTCATCAAACTTTTCCTATAGTAGAAGGATCTTATGTGAAATCGTCTCGATTGAGGAACTCCAACGATCACAGTTTCCATATAATTGCAATTAACATTATAACTCCCGTTTTGGGTCCGATGAACCCTGATACGAAAATGCAGCCATTTTTTTAGACTGTGCCTTGACTTGAAAAGTCTGAAGCGCGGTGTATTTTCATAAAGACATGCAATGAAGCAAGGATTTTCATGAGATTCTTCGGGAATGAAGAGATGAAACTAAAAAAGAAGCATAAGACCAGGTCTGCTAGTTACTGGGTTAAGTTCTGCGGGGGAATGGATATCTCGTACTCGATCTATGAAGCCACGTATTTAATTACGTGGGAGAGACGTCATTGGATGCAGTTGAAATTGTATCCGAAAAAGTGAGCTGTCTCATCATGCGCGTGTTTCCCTTCCCCGCTATTTTCGAAACGCGATGAGTCCTTGATAACCGTTATTGAAACGAAATAGAGAGGAAAACACACGAGACGTCGTAAGGCGGTTGCCCTCATGAAGATTCAAGCTGGCATTGCAGGTGGAAAGTGTAATCGAAAGTAGGTGGAATGCAGGAGGCAGTCACCGAATGTGTTTTGCTAAAAAATTAACAGGATTTCCAGGGTTACGGTCTTGCATTTAAAACCTGCCCGAGAAGGACTTTCTGGATTGTGTAGAAAATGGAAATGGTGGTTAAGATCCCGCAGCAAATTATATCTCTGAGTCAAGCCAAGTTTCTGTATTCAGATGAATCTTGTCCAAATCTCAAGAGAGAGAGAGAGAGAGAGTGAGCGAGAGAGAAAGAGAGAGAAAAAGAGAGGGAGAGAGAGAGAGTGAGCGAGAGAGAAAGAGAGAGAAAAAGAGAGGGAGAGAGAGAAAGAGAGAGAAAGGAAGGAATTCAAGAATCCGATTATTGCTTCTTGCGTTTCTTCTTGTTTTTCTCCATCTCCGATGTCAAAAACCGTCCTAATATATTAGTCGTCTTGTAGGGTACAACGTAATTCAAGAAACGTATAGTCTCCCTCTGGAAAGGAAAATTCGTTCCACTTTGTTAATATCTGTAAGTTCCCAACAGTGTTCCATGCATGCCTTAAAAAAGGAAAACATTCATCGCCAAAAAAAAGCACCACCAAAAAGACATACATTGATATTGATAAAATTGAAAAGTTCGATGCCGTGGATAATAAAAGTCATTAGAGTTTCAGAGGCGTAAGAATATTTGAATAGAAAACTTGCCAAACACTCAAATTCAAATGGGATCGATGGGATCATACTAATCGCCCCCAAAAGAATCCACTTTTCTGTTCGGCCATTGGATCTAACTGTGAAACAGTGCAGAAATGAAATCCTTTTCAACATGCTGTTCGAGCGTTTAATCGATGTCATGGAATGGGTGTGCATGCCTCAGTTTTAAGCAGAAGCACCTTAATATCAAGTTGATGGAGGCTAATCATTCGAAATAATCGACGTCAGTCAAACTCCCAAGATTTCACGCCCGCATTGTTTCCCAGTTAGACACTCGACGAAGGTCCAGCAACACAATGACTTCAGAGGAAAAGAGAATTGCCCACATCACAGGCGCCGCCCTCTTCGTCCATTCCTGGAGCGTTAGACAACTTTTCTCTGAATCTTATGAACTTAATTTACCGGATTTTCGTAAGCATATTTCAGAGTTCCCCTTCCGCGTGTCATTAAGGAAATCCTAATGGTTAGTTATTTGGGGCAATCAGTACGTTCCCCCTCTGTCATTTAATTGGGAAGGTTGGTATGTTTTCTCTTTTGAAATTCAACAAAATCCCTTCAAACTTTAGTCGGTTTCTTGACACGCTGGATCGTGTTTGTGTACCAAATTCCATTAGGATTCCTTAACTTCTTTTTGATGGGGCCCGTATTTTCTGGTGGGTACTGTAACTTATGCCGAGGCGCGATTAGTACCGGTAAGCAATGAGAAAACCTGAAAACCATGGTTGGCATTAATTCTTCATGATTCATTTGCGAGATCCACATTTTTAGGCATTAGCACTTTAAGTGCAATCAATAATACTACGCAAGGGATTACAGAGAGAATTAAAATCTTAACCAAATACAAAGTCATTAAACAGCTGGTATCGCCAAGACCATTAACATCAGACTGGAAGCGGGACAAAGAAGGGATTACATAGAATATGTAGAGGCTTTGCGATCATGGAGGATGAAATTAAAAAAAAATAACTTCATCACAGTTTGCGCCGAGTTCAAATGACCACTCTCCTTTGAAAGGATAATATGAATCATCGATTCTGTCGCAGATCTTACCATGAGGTTATGAAACCAATAACCGGAAGTAACTTGGATTTTGGGGATGGAGCGCAGATCGGAACGAGCGAAGGTATCCGGAGTCGGTGCCGTCAAACCCGGCCGATCCAAGAATTGTTCCGCCATCTTCGTGTACACGGCCCTGCGTTAAACACAACAAAACCCAATATAAATCAGGACAGAAAACACTTTAACAGCAACGGCTTGGCTGTGATTCACAATCGCACAAGGAGATTCTTCACTAAATGGAGTTCGTGGAATGTTACTAAAGTAATAGAAAAGGAACAGGACCTATGTTTTCCTTCCATATATGAGGAATGGAAAGAAAAAGATATTGCGTGTCTGCCTTTGAGAAAAACTGACCCAGGGCCGACGAGGTGAACGTGAATCCCTTTGTCTTTGTATTCATAGGCGAGACTCCGGGAGAAACTGTCCACAAATGCCTGAAAGTAAGGGGAAATGATGTATAGTTTGCCGACATTACTTTTTCAAACTATGCTAAGCATTGAATCCTGAATGACCGCCGGGAAAATACTAATATACAACATGGAATATGCTGGGTGTCCATGAACGTATGACAAAAATAATGTCATAACTCAGTAACAAAGTACGTTATTGCTATAACCCTCCCCACTCCCCATGCATGAACTCACTACCTATACTTAATGTGGTAATTTCTTGTCGGAACTTGTCATGACCGTCCTGCAGTTGTCGAACATTTCGCTAACGCCAAAATTCGCAGCTGTACGAGAGTGCTCACCACCATTTCAGGCTTAAGGATGGTGAATGCTTAATGTATGCAGTTCCTTAGGTCTGTCACATCACACGGTCTCTTGTTATGCACCTTTTCTTTGATAGAACTACAAACGCAGAAGTCAAGTTAAAGTTACATGCAAGACAAATTTTTCGACGCTATTCATGGAAGTTCGGGAGAACTCAGAAGGAAAAGAAAGTGCCTGCAATACAGAATATTTCCAGTTTTTTCCACACCGTATGTGCAACTCTGGTATGCGTGCAGGCATTCGTGTCCTGCATTCTTCGTCCGAGAAGATTTCCTGAAATATATATTAAAATACCTTTGTTGCAGAGTAGACTGTGAAGAAAGGAAGCGGGAAGATGCCAGCAATTGAGGAGACATTGATAACGACCCCCTTTCCTTTCTCCACCATCCTAGGTAGGATCATCTTGGTCATTCGGACCATAGACATATTGTTGACCAGAAGCATGTCCTGGAACGTCTTCTCGCCGTCTGGGAGATCGAGGAAGCGGTCGAGGTCGTTCGCCATCCCCACGTTGTTCACCAGGACCCCGATGTCCAGGCCGGCCACTTTCTCCTTTATCCCGTCGTAGATGTCCAGCTTCGTGAAGTCAGCCGGAATCATGAGGGTCTCCGTGTCGAATGCCACCTCTAATTGGGAATTCCAGAATTTGAGACTGAACTCGATTTGCAGGTCGAACAATGAAATGTGAGGCAACGAAGATGAGGTCGAAGAGAGTGAAAAGATTCATATTCATATATTTTTTACATGATGTCAGCATTTAGATCCAAACCTAAGACCAACGGGAATGTAATGAAGAATTCAAATGGTACAGGCAAAGAGCTCACTCACATTCATTAATGATATTTACTTGTTTCATAACTTTCAGTTCTCATTTCTTTATTCAAATTTATTCCTGAGACGTTTTAATAATTTTTCCCATTCATTCCACTTTTTAATAGAAGTTTTAGAATCATACGGATATCACTCATTCTCTTGAAAGTTCTATCATGATATTCTTTACATGCTAAACATGGTTTTTTTACTTAGATTTTCAAAAAGTGTAAACGTCCCTCTGAAAATAGAGATAACACGACCTTTGACACTGAAAATTCTCGCCTTCCGGAGTTCCTCTAGGGAAATACGTTCATTCCCCAGATTATTTGAAAACATCCACAAATGTCGAAACTTAACAGAGTATCGTAATCCTTTTTGATCTACTAATGGAAAAAACAAGAGTCATCAAGAGCATCTTACTTAGGTCCTCAGCGACAGCTTCAAGCTTCTTGGGATTCCTGCTGATCAAAACGATTTTCATTCCGCGTCTGGCCAGCTGCAACAAGAGTAAAGCCGTTTATTTCTCATGAGATCGTCGTTTGAATCTCGATGCGCGAACCTCACCTCCTTCGCGTAACTTCGCCCGATCCCGTCCGTGCATCCCGTCACCACTGAGAACAGAGAGAAGTACGCCAACGTATTAATATCTATATAGGCAAGCGGATAGTATGATACTCGATACTCGTAATCTGGAGGGGTGGTGAGTGTCAAAGATAGGATGTCTACACGTGTGACTACCATGCACGTTTTAAATCTTTCATCCATCTGTTGGGTTTTCCCTCCGTGCTTCAGTAGTCTCATGATCCAATAGCATGCGAAGTATCACCTGAATGGTGTTAATGCTGCTGGAGCAGCTTGAACGCGTTCATTTGTTGAACATATGCTTCATTTTATTCTGAGCTTAAGTTATATTTTTACGTTTTTCCTCAATACTATAATTCTTAAGCTTCTCGGAAGGTGCCCCCCACCCTTCTTTACCAGAGGTTATGAACCATGATCTTCTGAACGAGGTGATTCTAATCCCCACCCGCCACCTGCCTAATTTCTTTCTGGCTACCGCATTGTGCACCTACATTCTCCATTTAGGAGATGAGTTTGAATTCCTCGAAGGAACTCTCACCTGCCCAGGTCCCATAGGAGGTGAAAGAGGGGTAGGAGCCAAATCCATGGATGAAGAGTCTTCTTATTAGGTGGGAAAACTGGACGCCTGCCCAAGCCAGCACCGAGAACGTGATGACGTTCGATGCTATCGACCATAAACAACACCCTTCTCCCATTTCGGTGTTACTTTCTTCGCCCAATCTAAGAAGTGAAAAAATAAAACATTTTTTCCCACATCCTTGGTACATGAATATATTAAGCAAAAATATAAGCTTGTTTGTTGACAAAGGAAACATTTCCTGATCGTACGTTTTTCACCTGCAGAGCTTTTCACAGTAGGTATAACGCGCTGTTGCCTTCACGTCGGCCTGAAACCTCAATAGAAAACGTTAAATAGACATTTCTAAAGTGAACTAATCCTCAAATCGGCTCAACTCAGCCCACCACACATGATGAAGTTGAAGTACATTAGAGAAAGTTTGGAGAGTCTCCTTCACTTCCCATATACGTACTTACTGTCCTTTCCTGATGATATCGCTCCAAAAATTAGACAAGATCTTTGAAAATTCCAAGCTCGCAACGAGAATTTTCAAATCAAATCACCTGTGTTCACAATACCTACGATACGATTCCTCTAAGGGAAAAATAGTAAAAATTAAACTAAACCAGAACACATATTGAGCACTCGTTTCGCCTCCACACCCTGTTGAGGACTAACAGAAGGATCTCACAGATTAGAAGAGTTCCTCGTTCTACGGAGTCTCCTCCCTCTCACGAGCAATGGCGTAGCGAGGGGGGGCTGAGTGGGGGGGGGGGGACTTCAGCCCCCCATCTCCGGTCAAAATGCATCCCCATTTAGCGAAATCCTGGCTACGCTACTGATCACGAGATGAGAGGGGACTTCATGCAGTACTTCACTCGGGACATCACATTTATCAGAGGATATTCATAACTGTCAAGAGTTTTGTCTAACTTTGCTATTGGGAGAATGTATTTCCATTACGCCTATGGAGAGTTTTCCTGAGATGACAATGTTTTCCTAGTGTATTTTTCTACGATCCGAAAAACAAAGCTCTTAGATGCCTGCGCATGCATCGATGAAGTCAAGATATCGCGCTGTGGATCCGAGCGCTTCGAAAAGCGATCAAGGTATGGATCGACTGAGTTCGGCTTTTCCTGTGAAGGAAACTCACTTGTATTCCTCGGATGGTTTCGCTTGCGCCGCGGTTGCCTCAGATGCGAGCCGATTCGATGCCGCAATGGTTTCAAGGGAGGGCAAGTCCCTCCACGAAGTGGGCGCGACTGAGAAATTCCTCCTCCGCTGGAAACGAAGGAAGCCCGCATGTATACAAACCCTCCTCGATTTCGGCACTCACAGGCAAGGCGGGTGAAGACGCGTGAGAACGAGAGCGTGAAGGCGCGTGAAAGTGCGTGAACGCGGACGCATGCCTACACCAGCTTACAGCAGACCTCTTTTGGCCCGTGAAAAGTTTGCCGCTCTCTCGCTCTCCGCGCGATTTCGTTAACAATGATATCCTAATTTGCAGACTAATACATCTTAGCTTGGCCCGGGTTTGTCAATTTGGCGATAAATTCTCTGCTGTACAAGCTCACTTAGGCCCAAACCGCCTCCTCTATTCATGTCTTTCTGCAGTATATCCAAAGAAATGAATGGCCATGGGTTGAAAAACCTGGCGTGCATGACGCGGACGCGTAGAAGCTGTCTACTTTTCATCAACCAAGGCATTATTGGCCTTGGCTGGGATATATTTCTATTTCTATGATCATCAAGGGAGACGATGCATTTTTGGCGAAAATCTTGTCCACCTAATGTTAATAGAAAGATAGTGGGCTGACGTAACCAGTCAGGCTTGAGGTGTGACGCTTCTCTCTGTGGGACACTTTAAGAACTATTTTATTTGGGCAATATTCCTGAACTTAAAATGTACGAGGTATATGGGGCTGTATATATACGAATATGGGACTGAAGCCTGCTCTCTTGGGTGCTCCGTTTTTCCTTTTGAGATTCCTGCAGGGGACTCCTAAATCATCATAATGAACTATTGAGCCCATCTAATTGTAATCCTTTTCTCTTCCTTAGGCTTAAGGTCTTTCTTTTGTCGTTCTTGTTAAGTCCTGTATCCGTTTTGGAATCTTAATAACTCTTTAACCAGAGATGTAATTAATCTGGTTTGTTAGCACACGCACCATGCGGAAAAAGCATGGACCAAAGCGCGTGAGGGATGAGGCATGCGCAATCACATCTCTGGTTCCCTGCACTCGCCTCTTGCATGCAGGGGAGGCTGGTGCCGAAATCGCGGAGTGTTCACCCGCTTTCACGCTCCCGCTCTCACGCTTCTTCACCCGCCATGCAGGTGAGTGCCGAAATCGAGGAGGGTTTGCATATATGCACCCCGCCCTTCGTTCCTCACTTTCCTCATCCCACCCACAACTCTTCCCCGCAAGTATCATTCTGTTCGGCATTGGCTGAAAGGCTTTGCTCCCATGTAAGCAGTCCAATAGACTCCACTCGGTCTCGTCGATACCTGAGGTACCATCCCGCCCGAACGCCGTTGAGAACTCAGCGATGACGTTCTCGATGCTTCCTTTGAGAGCCTTTGCACGAAAGGCGGTCTTTCGTCAAAATTCTCTTCGGATTTGGAGCGATCGCGAAATACTGCATCGACAGCCACTGTAACTTGCACGTCATCAAATGTTTGGGCTGTTAGCGCTCGAGCATAAGAACGACCGATTATTCAGCCGGAAATTTTACTCATGAATATATCAGTAACGGAGGATATATTCTTCCCATGTGAGAATACTTTCATTGACGCCCTGTTTTCCTGTTTTTTTTTTTGACAAACGAAATGCTGCAATAAATTGGATTCTCGTGTCCAATCGTGTCCATTGACATCATGGTTCCCATTATGTCTATATATAAAATGCAAAGTCCTTGGTTGAGTTTGAACCAATCGGTTGCGGTCAGGAACAGTCAAAAGCGGCTGAGTGTATTGCACATCGCTCCAGACACCTGGCAGTCACTCGAAGAAACAAAGTTCCCGAAATATACGTGAGATGGCGCCTAAATAGACTCCTCGAGGAAGAGTCCGCGTGAGCGCATGGAAAGAGAAAAGCCTCCACCTTTTCGCGGCGGAGTTTCTCCACCCCGAGATCGCTCGATGGATTCTCGGTCGAGTGAATTCCGAAAGATGCATCAGAGTGGATTTTCCTTTCATAACTTTTCCAGCATGGAGTCGGACCGATGAACATTTCAGATTCACGCGTCGAAATTCCTTTGATGACGGCAATCGGACGCATCGCGGTTCGGTTTCCGCCTTCCTCTGCGATGCGGATCGCGGTCGGGAGGCGATATCGCGGGGTAAGGGACGTTTCCATTTTGTGGCGTGCAAGATCATGAGGGAGTTTTCAAAATGCAATTTCCTTCAATGCGACTCGACCCGGTTTTGGCTGTATTTCGTCTTAGATGTTCTCGCGTGTTCGGGCCCAAAGGCAATTGGATCTAGATGAGCTTCATCGCATTTTCCAGTGTTAGAATGACCTTATTAGAATCTCTCGCCTCGACTGAGGATCGACGACGAAAATCACGGATTCAGTATAAAGGCAATCGACCTCATAACTGCCGTTCTGAGTCCAATGGACCTCGATCCCGAAATTTAGCCATTTCTGTAGGCCTTTCAACTGAAAAAAGTCTCATATTCGGTGGATTTTCACGAAGGCAAATAATTAGGTAAGGCATTTTCATGAGATTCTTCGGGCGGATTCCGTTTTTCTTCCTCGATGAATGAAGCCAGGTAGTCGTTTCCGCGCGAGCGATGTCATTGCGTGCGGCTGAAATTGCGTCTGAAAGATTGAGCCGTCTCGTCGCGGGCGCGTTTCCCTTCCTCGCAATTTTCGAAACGCGATGAGCCCTTCGTGACCGTGATCGTGACGAAAAACAGGGGAGAACACGCGAGAATGCCCGGGGGGGAGTGGGGGGGGGGGAGAAAGGGGGGGGGGGGCGGATGCAAGAGAAAAGAAATTTCGACTGGAAAGTGGAGTGGAGAGAGCGACCGTGCGTGTTTTGCTGGAAAATTGAGTTTTCCTGGATTACGCTAACTCATCTGGCGTTTTGATCCGATGTTCAACTCCAAAGGATTTCCTTCGTTTCCCGTTTCCTCTCCGCGTTTTCATCTCCGCTCTCCTCTTCGTTCGTTTCCTCGATGATGTCCCTTACGAAAATGCCTCATATGATTCCTATATATTCCTTAAGGAATATATAGGAATCCTCTAGGTTCCCTATAGGCCCCATAGGGTTCCGTTTGAGACCTATATGGTTCCCTATAGAAACTACAGGGTTTCCTATAGGACCCGTAGGGTTCCCTATAGGCCCTATAGGGTTTCCTATAGGGCCTCTACGGAACCCTATAGGGCAGGGCTTCCCAACCCAGGGGTCGCCAAGATCATATTTGGGGTCGCGAACCGGCAAATATGTGCCAAGTTATGTTTTTCTTTGCGATTTTAGTGCATAGGTGGGGAGCCTGTTTCACCAGTGCTTGGGATCCTGAATGGTACGATCGTGATTTTTGGGGTCGCGCGTGAAAAAGGTCGGAAACCCTTGCTATAGGGCCTATAGGGTTTCATTTGAAGTTCTCCTCGAGGCCACTAGATGGTGCTTCGGTGTTCTCGCCTTTCTCAAAGGACACAAAAGTGCTTTCCCCTCACCCATGGAATCGTCCCTCACAGGAGAATTTCGTCGATCCCCGTATGTCTCGCCTTGCCTCGTCGTCGCAATCGATCAACTCTGACACTTCCTTATTTGTCATCCTCCTCTTCCAGATAGAATCATGGAGTCCAGGAGAGAAATATGCCCATATTCCCTTTGAAAACCACGTACGAGGAAAAAGTAGACGTCGTACGAAAGGGTTTTCAACAAAGAGACGGTGTATTCAAGTTCTGTCTGCCGTTTTCCCACGAGGAGAGAAGAAAGATCGTTTTCTCTACCGGAAGAAGTGGTCGCGCCATACTGCGCATTTCAGCCACAGATGTGGGCCTGGGCGATAAATAATACAGCCCTAGGGAGTACTAGTATAAGAAATTCAAGTGCCTCTACCGTGGGAAAACCCCTAGTCGGTTTGGTGCAAATTAATTTGCACCAAAATGCTGCGCCAAAAATGACTCCAGCTGCCATTCCCTTTGTAATGCCAGGGTTTCGAAACCCAAGAAATCCTAAAGTGTCAGGAGTCCTATACGGCCCTATAGGGATCCAATAGGTTTTTCGTCTTTCAAAAACCTATGGGTCTATGGGTTTCCGATAGGACATTTCCGTAGAATTCCGGAGAGATCCGGAATTGCCGAGCCGGTTCGACTCGCGTCGTCTCGGAACTGCGATCGATTGCCTTCGCTCAGTCATCGCGTCGTGTCTGGACCAGTTATCTGCTGGATCGATCCGTTTTCCAGGTGGATTTGCATGGACTTTCACTCGAAAAGAGCAGGTTTGCACGACTCGTACCAGCATCGGCAACCGATATTTGCGACTTCTAAGTTCTGCTCGCTTCCGCCTCGCTCTGGATTCCTGGAAAAGCCAATCGGCATATCACGACGTTGGTTCCAGGAAGCAGAAGGGAGGAACCAGGTGAATGGCGGGTGGGAACGTTGTTGCTTTACGTCGAGAAGACTAAAAATATATATACTGTATATATATGAAAAAAAAAACAGTGCCGGGGGCCACTGCGTCATTGAAAATTTCGCAGTGAAATTTTTCACACTCATTAAGATTCCTCCTTTGACCTCGAAAGCGGGAGTGGGAATTCCTCGCGACGAGCCGACAGAGAAATTCCCAGTGACGACCGCGTCCTCCTCGACTACGACGGATCCGAGAAAACAAACTAACTGGATGGATCGGCAGAGTCGAGCTCGTCCCGCGAAGGAAGCCGACCTGGATTCCTCGGACGCTTCCCCCGTCGACGCGCCAATTTGATGTAAAAGGAGGGCGAGTCCCTCCGCGGAGTTGGCGAGACCGAGAAATTCCTCCTCGCTGGATGCGAAGGAGGCCAGCCTCCTCGCTTTCCTCGTCCCACCCACAACTCTTCCCCGCGAGCATCGTTTTACCTCCCGAGGCCTTCAGGCAATTGGCATCGAGAGAATCTTCCAGTTCGTCCGAGTGACAGTGAGGTTGTTCGGTAAGGAGATTGCAGCGACATCTTGCCGGCTGCGAGCGAACGCTAAGCTTCCACTTGCATTCTCCCCGTATCGCCGCGATCGATCCTCTCCACGACTGCGAAGGACGACCGCAATTACTGTGTAATCATGAGGGTCTGCGTCGCAGCCATGTCTATGGTCGCAGCCATGCCCCTCGCGATGAGGAATGGTCAGAGACCAGAGACGCTCCCCGTCGCCTCATTATGTTGGCTCGTGTCTCGTCTGCTCGTTTCTTCCTTCATTCCTCCGAGCATTCGAGGCCGATGCTATTGCCTTCTTTTTCGCTCCTAGCGTCGATGTTATCGTCGGGATTGCTTCTGCCATGCATCTCGATGACGCAATCCGAGAACGATCTAAATAATAACGATTGCGCCCCTCTTGCGACGCACATCTCCGGGCACGGGCCGAAAGGCTTGGCTCGCACGGAAGCGAATCCATCGAGACTCCGTTTCGTCTTGCCGGTACCGAACGGCGTCGAGGACTCGGCGATGGCGTTCTCGACTTGAGGAAATCTTTGCCGTGTTTCGAGGAGGAAAGACCCCCGTGACCTCATCTGAAATCCTGTCGATCGCGGTAGACAGGCGTCATCCCTGGGATCATTCATTTATGGGATTCCCAAGCCAGTCCCCCATCCGAAGGGAAATCCGAGCAAGGTTTCGAATCGGGGAGAAAAATCCCCCGATCGGTAAGCATCGGGCTTCGAGCTGAAGGGATTCGAGGGGAGAGAAAGGGCTGGGGGTAGCCTCTTCCGATGATGGGGTTCGCTTCAAATATGCACATTCGTCGACTACCGCTTTCGATCCATCGGACGCGGTTGCAGTTCCCTGATGAGCCGAAAGGAGGGCGTCGAGGAGAAGTGCCAAGTAGTTTACTCGCTCATCAGAGGAACGAGGGTTGCATTCGAGTTTCTCTTTTAGGCATGCAAATTGCTCTATATGATGCCTTCATAGCCGCAAATTTCCGATGGAAATGAATCGTTAACTTTCGAATTTCTTTTTTTTTTTCTGCGTCGTTCGGGAGCTGGGAAAGAGTTGGAGGAGGAGAGAGAGAAGATCGAGCTGGAAATGTTGGAACATTTCCATGAAAACTTCATGCATATATTTCATCTAATCGCAGCCATTATGTGAATCGTGCATCGTTTCTAGTGGGCCGTTAAAAGATGGGACTCGAAGGGGCGTGCCAACATCCGTACGTGGGTTCTCAGGGGATAAAAAAGCAAAAAAAATGGAAGAAAAAATAAAAACGGCTGAAAGGGGGGCGCTAAGCCCTATTTAGGGCTGCCAGAGGCGGTGGCCGCTCCCGGGTAAAATACGCCACTGCTTGTTGCAGTGGTTCGCGACTTTTTTCCTTTCGACGGGCGGCGCTCTTTGAATTGCTAAAAATCTCCATGCTCATAGCTCTGGAGACTGTCACGTATTTTGATTCATGAGCCAAGGGGCCTGGGTCTGGGAACGGGAACTGCCAAGGCTGACGTTGGAGGGTGGGGGTGGGGGGGTGGGGGGGGGGGGGGGAGGGGAGGAGTGAGCGGAGGTGTGAAGGGACGAGGGGTGCTCAACGAAAATTTAACTGTAATAAACACCGTACTGAACTCTACGTGTGGAGGAAACAAGGTTCTCCTCCCCCCCCCCCCCCTTTTTTTTTTTTCTCTCCTCAAACCCATTTCGCAAGAAACCGGTCGAGAACCAGTGGCCTATTCCCGAAAAAGAATTTAAAATCTTCATAGCTAAAAACCTTTGAAGCCTGGAGCAAGAACTATCTTTGTGTCTTCCTTTCGTCTCTGCTTGATGTTCCCGTTCGATTTTTGTAGGAATGAGCGAAATCTGTTGGTTCAAATTCTTTGTTGGCAGATAGGTCTGCTAGATGGAGATACTTTGCTTTCTTCCACAATTTTTTTGCTTCGACGGGCAATGGATTCATTCCGCGAATACTTGAGGCAATGACGTTTCACATTCACGATGAAATGACAGGAGCCGGCTTCATCTATGAAACACCGGCGAGCGGGAAAAGAACCGATCGGAGGAACGGCGACTCGCGATTGGTGAGGGGACGATTACGTCATAGGGCGTCAGTGGCAACGGAAAGAGAGACTGACTCGGGCCTGTTGCTCTGGCCCGCGGGCTGCGCTGGGGTACTATATCGCGCGTATCTTTTCTGGTCTGAAAATAACCTCAAATCCCGGTACTCGATTGCTTCATTTGGGGATAATTCATGCAGCAATCGGCAATCGATAAAGTGCAATCGGCAATCGAGGATCTGCAGTGCTGGCACAGGACGACAGGAGGAGGCGATCGAACGGTAGTCGGAAAAACATATACCGTTTAGGTCTCTAATCGGAACGCCTCTCAACGAGGCCCCCCTACGAGAGGAACCTCTCTGTCAGACCGGTTAGAGCTCTCGCCTGGGTTGGATCGTGCTCGTGTGCGCATCAGTGCACGGCTGTGTTTTAGATAATTCCACCATGCGAACAAAGACCTTCTCGACGTCAAGTGGTCACTCATAGTGCCGTCTGTGCCACGTTCTTCTGGAACATCCATTCTCGGATGCCTTTCGAGTGAATCCTGCGAGTGTGCGTCGTAGCGTAACGTTAGGAATCCCCGCCAAGAATCTGTCTCACGTTTGGAGGGAGTGATATCAAGTCGACAAAAAAAATGCGTTTTTCTCAACGAGCTGTGATATCCATCTGGAACCTGTCCCTGTTCCTTGGGATTGCCAGCTCCGCGAATCTCTTGGACCTTCTTGCCCAACAACCCGACACCAAAGAGGTGAGTTCTCGTTTTCGGATGATTTCTCTCTGGTGCTCGCGTTCCATTCACCTTTATTTCCCGTTGATACTCGCATCCGCTGACGAGGGAGGAAAGAGAACAAAAGGATAGAGATGAAAANGAAAGAGAACAAAAGGATTGAGATGAAAAGGAGAAAAAAGAGGCCGTGATCAGGGGCGTGGCGACCGTCGTTTTCAAGGGCAAGACCGGAAGGAGAATAATTAGGCGAACTCGTAGACAACCTGGAAAGTGATGAAGGAAGGAAAGGACCCTTTATGCAGTGATGCATTCTGGCGAGGCCCAATTTCATGTGTTCAGCCCCGTTTAGAGAAGCGCGCCTAAGGTCTATGGTTATAGCCACGGAAAATCGTGAAATAGACCCCACTGCAGCTGCCTAAGAGACAAGATTACGCGGTAATCTCTTTTCATTTCGCGTCCTTGGTGCATGATGGAATCAGCCTACAAATGCGGTGCCTGTAGTCGCAGTAATTCTATAGAGAGCCCTCTGCAGTATATGCAGTCCCCCACCCTAGACACCCCAGCCGGCTCTTCGCCCCCCTTTCACCCTCTTTCCCTTTTCCTCCCCCCACAGCCGGCGTCGTTGTATTGATCCACGCTGCCAGGGAATGATGGGGAGATTTTCATGGCGTGGCCCCCAGCCCTAGCCTCTCCTTTTTTTTTTCTGTCTCTCCCCATCCTACATGTGCTCTTGTGATGGCCCCCCTGTCCAACTAATAGCAGGATCCAGTTCCGCGGTTTGATATGATAGATTTCATCCTTTGAACACATTGCCCGCCGAAGCCGCCTTGACCTTGAGAAAACCACTGCTGCCGTGAATCACAAGTTTGAAATTGGAAAAGACAAAAAATGACGTCACCTGCCCTTTTCTGTTGGCATTATTAATATTCCTGGAAGTTATTTCATAAAAATACGTTATCACTTCTTCATTTTTGGATGAATCTAAAGGCGCTTTTAAAAATGAGCAGGGATATTTTTAAAGGCTCTTGGAGCCTATGAGCTAGTAAGGAAATTCTCTGAGAGAAATGTGAATGTAATAGGGAAGCCAGTCAACAACGATATAGGAATACCCTCCCTATGAATAATTCTAGAAGCTATCATTGAAGACAATGGCAGGCCATACTTATATGGAGCTGTTGTATCTCATATATAGCTTGTTTTCGCTATACTTTTAGGTGACTTTATCTATTGTAGGCTGGGGACTTCGGATATATTCGGATCAGAGAGATATTTCGCTCCCCTCACCCCCGGCCTACTTGTCGATCAAATAGGGCTTCCATGGCTGGAAATCCCGGAAAATTATATTTTTTTTCTTCAAATCACATGCACAATCGAAAGGACATGGGATAAATATATATATATGTATATATATATTTTGGAATGGCAATGCAAATCACCTCTACAAAACAGCCTTTTTAGAGGGAGTATATCCAGGTACAAAAGTTGAGGTCTGCAAAGGAATTGATCCTTTCTTTGTTACCAATACTAGATAAATCCCACAGGGAATGTCTTACCCTATTTGTTACGTATCTTTTCGGTGCAGACTTTCTTAGTAGGCCCTAGGAAATTGAACTGGAACAACGGGAATATGTTCGTGGTATTATTCGTACTCGGGATTGGAAAGGTCTGTACCAAGTGAAGCATCTTTCCGTGGGAATCTGATAAAGTGAGTCCCATCAGAAGAAAAGAATTTCTGGAACTTCCCACGCCTCGTAGCCCTTTGTAAGCTGGAGCTCTTATTGTGTACCGCCGTCCTGAAAACTGCCCTGCCAGTAATAAGGACTGTAACCCCATTTACAGCTCTGTTGATCATAGGACTTATCCAGTTCATGATTCCATAGTCGTATGAATGCTGACGACGAGTCACGCGAAAATCTCATCTGCAGAAGGGGCGGGTGGACACATGCTCGAATGAGACGATCAGTCGCCGACCCAGACGTAGCCTTGTCCCGAGGCGTGACCTTTCAATGCTTTCCGCTCATGCGGTGAACGTATGGGGGAGGGATGAAAAGGTTGTACTGTGTGCAGCGATGAAAGGCTTTAAGCTTCATGGGGCGTCTTCAACGTCCACTCCCATTCATGGAGAAGCGACAATTTTCTTTATATTCTGGTGATGAATGAAGATGTTTGGTTAGGTAATAAATTGATTCCGTTAATGATTGTATACATAAGTTTAATGAGCAGCTGATAGGCTCAATGTGTGAATAATACTCTGGCAGTGCGGAAATGAAGTGGTTCGTAGCATTGATATCATGCTACATGGGGGTGCTTTTAAGGAAAATACTATGACAATCACTTGATTTTAAGCTGGAACTTTTGTGAATTTATGAGACAAAAGAAAATCTTGCGCTTTGAAACAATACGTGTTTATCGTCCTGCGATCAGATTCTACGCTGACCCCGGAACCTGAATTCCTTGTATCTTATGGTTGTTTTTCTCCTGTTTTCATCGGAAATACGTGGAGTCTAGTCCGTATGGAATTATGGCCCCATTCTACCTTGCTGGTTTCTGGAGAACCAAGATGCTCTGAATTCCAGCATGCGTTTTTGCATGTTAGCGTCCTTCACGCTCCCTTCCTATACCAGCTTGTCATTTGATTCGCCGGGAGGGTGATTTATGGGATCCGGAGGGGAAAGCGAATGAGATGGCCGCAGGGATTCCGTAAAATTGAACTTGATTGATTAAACTGGAGGGGTGTTATATGGGCACCACAGCCTCCAAGTATAAGGAGTAAAAAAAAAGTTTTCGACTCTTAGAGCTTTCATCAGGGAAGTAAAATTTTCACTTCCGTGTTATCTCAAGTGGTTTTATTTTTACTGAAGGGCTTTTTATTTTTCAGAAGATGCTAGCAATATCTAACTGGTGACAATTGTCTCTGACCCGGGTGGGTATTAAAGAAATATATGCAGCAATGGTCCAGTCCAAAGGATGCACTGCATACAACTCGAGCTAGTTAGGTAACTGACAGTTTCGTCTCAGTTCATTCATGGATGGTCAGTGAAAAAAGAAGTATGGTATCTTTAGGGCTTAAGGTGAAAAGGGAGAACGAAGAGGGGCGAAGGATGAAGAATTACGGGAAGGAAGGGATGAAGAGGAAATAGGGGGTAAAAGGACTCTTGAGTTCCCTGCTACCTGAATTCAATGGGGGAGGGGAAATGCCCAGCAGGGGAGGGGGGAAAGAGGGGAAGTCTCGTCTATGTCTGCTTCCATCTTCTACAACGGACATCCTGAGGACAAAAAAAAAAGAGGGACCGGGATCCTGCTTTTGGCCTTCTTCCAATGCGAATTTGGGCTATTATGTACCGTGCTGTTCAGGTCATTTTATTGCAGGTGTACAGTAATAAACTCCTTAAACACTCCAAACAAGAATGGTGCAAACGTTGCTGTGATGCTGCTGATCGAGTCGACGGAAGAGACGGCTATCGCGAACTTGCACGGTTGATAAACTCATGGTTGAGCTGACAGGAGATTAAATTTTTTAATTATTTTTTTTTTCGCCCGGACCGTATGAGAGTTTCCCATTGGTACAAGATATAACTCACTTCCCCATAGGCATAAAATGTGCAATGGAATTCGATTACGCTTATCTTGAGACGTCAGCCTCCTCTCGCGTTACTTCTGCATGTACAACCTACCTTTCATCTAGGCGATTTTGAGATAAATTTGTCACTTATCCCTAATTTTCTGCCACAGGAACGTCACAGTCGACCTTGCCGGTAATAGACGTCAACAGAGGCAAGATCAAGTTCGTGAAAACAAGTCTATCCATCTCTTCTTGTAGCTGAAATGCATGTCGTCATGGTGCATGACAGCACGAACACGTGACGTTTCAATAACTGATCGCTTTCAAGTATGATGATGCGAACGCAGGAGAGATACCCACTGATTGACCCTAGACATGGGCATCGTCCGTTGAGGAAAACTCGATGATAGAGCGAACGAGGATTTCATGAGGAAGGGAATGTACGTGCGCACGACTCTTCTTCAAGCGAGCAGGTCCGGTAAATAAATAAATAAAATTTATCGCGAGTGGTATGGCTATTTTTTTTAACGGTTCGGGATACCGGTCTCATCCACGTGGGTGCCATTCTGGAAGTCATGACTCTCTCTCTTCCCACGCTTGTTTGTCTATACTTGGTGGGTATCTTTTTCGTATAGAAGCCCTGCCATTACAGGATAATATCTGCGGGGGAAAGAAAAAAGAATGAAAGACCACGGGGTATGACCGTTTGCCTCGAAGCATGACTCATGAATGGAAGGTCCACCCCTCTTTTTTTGTCTTTCTTTTATTACCCGGTGACCTTGAGAGTGGTCAAGGCCCTACCATTATAATTGGATCTGATTTCCCTGAAGGGACTCCTCACTCTACGGTGATAATACAAGACCCTAATCTTTTTTCCCATTAGCACTTAAATAAAGATGCGGCTCACACTCTCAGGTCAGAATCGTTTAGGCGGACGGAAGTGTGCTTTGAAGACATTCCTACTCTTTAATATAATATATTATTTACCTGATGTTATTCTTTCTAGTCGTGCACTTCGGTAATTATTGCTTGCTAAGTATTTTCATATATTGTCATCATAGGTATATTATTTAATTTTGTTTATCTGTATTAAGTCGGTATCGAACTTTCATTTTGTCATTTCGCTGTGACTACGTCCAGTGGAACCCTTGGAAAAATTCTCGCAGCGCCTTCATTAATCTCACGGAGATTTGCCCATAACTTTTAGCGAGTTCCACTGTCTTGCTTTGAAGAGCATGGTCAATATTACCCCTCCAAACATCACTGCATAACAGCATATCCTAATTGCTAACGATCTCCTAAGAGCCTGAGAGTGTCCTCGGTTCCTGTTTCTTGGAGAAGCCAGTCGTCATATCTAGTGCCCTCTTGTTTCTTTAGCACTCGAGCGAATCGAGTGGAAAGGAGCGACTCCGTGCCATAAAGCGTCATGAAGACTTTTCTGTGCGCATCTGACTCTTAT